ATATGACACGGAGCAAGGACTAAGCCAGCTTTGCAGATAACACAATATTATTCAGGGGGTGAGAGCCCAAGCGAATTACAAAGCATCTTAAGAGGTTATATTTCACATGAGTGAAAGGGCAACACACTGGCAAATTAAGCTCAACATCACTGTGTGAAAAGTGATGCAAACTGAAGCCAAAATGCTCTGTGCTGGTGGGATCTGAAGTGGCGGTCACCAGCTATGAAAGAGATGTTAGAGTCATGGTGAATAGCTCAGTGAAAGCATCCACTCTGTTTGTGGTGCCAGGACAAAAGGCAACTTGTTTCTTAAGAATTATTGTAAAAGTGGTTGAAAACAAAATGGCCAGCAATGTTACAGCTTGTTTATATATATCTGTCAGGTGAATACCACATACAGTTATTGTTGCCTTATCTCAAAAATAAGATCATTTTACTGGACTGTAGCAGAAAAAGGCAACTAACATGATGGAGGGTTTCAGCCTTTTCTGTACAAAGAAAGGTTAAGGTGATAGAAAAGATATTCTCCCGTCATAATACTAGAGCAGGGGAAAGCTTGGGGTTACATAGATATATCAGTTTCTTTTGCGTTCAGTTTTTTTTAAACTGAATTTCTTCCTTTCGCAAATATGAAAAAAGTTCAAATTTTTGCAAACTTTTATACAAAAGAAACCAAAACAATATTCTCATCCACCTGCACCGGCCATATTCAAAAGGTACATGGAGCCAACAATGAGGTGCCCACCTGTTGTGTAACTATTAAAGATGAGGTGCCTATTGGGGTTGTCACCTCTTTTTTCTTAATTCGGCATTAACATGCTTGAATACTCAGGAACTTAAATCCAGACTTTTGAGAGCTATGCACTGAAAGCCTTGGTCCTGGATGGAAAAATCTATTAGTTATGCTTTCTTCCATATTCTTTTATTATTATTATTTAAAGTTCTTTCCTTCCTGAATACCAAGAAATTTGCCAATTTTGATCAATTCTTAAAAAAACAAACAGAAGCAAAATTTTTACCCATCACAGGGACACAAAGAAACTGATTAGTAGACATCAGGATGTTCTGGCAGAGGAGGCACCTCTTCACATGACACATGGTACAAGTATGCAACTCACAAGGAGTGCTGATTGCCACAGACTTGGACAGCTTTAATGAGGGTTTGATCAAACCTATTATCTGTCAATGGCTATTTAGCAAGTACTCCAACTCTGAGCACCACCGGCAGAGCATCACTGAAAACCAGCCATTCAGGAGCAACACACAGAGAGAAGTATTTTCCTTGGTGTCTTGCTTATGTGGCTTTCTAGGGACAGCTGGTTGGCTGCTGGGGGAACCAAGGTGCTGAAGTGGGTGGACCATTAAAGACAATTCTTATTTTCATAGCAGGTTTTTTTTTTTTTTTAGTGATAACAGAGGACTATATTCAATGGGTTGCACCCCGTGTTATTCTATCATGTGTCCTATTCATTTCAGTGCATCTGCTCTATGGAGAGCTAGCATTGGCCCCATGCCTATTCTTGAATATGGTAGCTACAACTGGAACTCAGAATTTCCTCAAGTCACAACCAGTTCTGAAAAGGGGGTTTAACAACCACAGGAAAGATTATAAAGCCTTCCTCTAGGGATGTGTAGAAGCTTCACAGAATCCATCCCTCTAGCATTCAGGGCCTTTCTTTCAGGATCAGCCCTGTCTTGGAGAGCAATCCAAGTGGAGAGGAAATGCTCACGGAAGGAAGGTTGTGCAACTGGCAGCCATCTGCTCTACCTTGTGCAGCAGCATAAACAAAGTTCACTTGTGGAGCGTTCTTGAAAGGCTCGGTCCCTGGTGATGGTGCAGGTACAGCCTAAGTTTGTGGCACAAAGGTTGCTGCGCAGGGTGAGGAAGAGAGATGCTGCTTGCACAGTGTTCACAATGGGCTTGATTGCTGGGAACAATCGACAGGAATTCAGACTCAGGGACAATGTGAAGTGGACTGGAGTCTGGGGAGCTGAGCCCAGGAAATACAACAGACTTCTGCCCCTGTCCCCTCCCCACGAACAGATTCCTCATGCATCTCTAATGACCACATGAAGGAGTCCTGCCAACCTGCTCCATTGCAGAAATGAGGATTTCTGCTCACTTGGGGACTTGCTCCAGGAGTATTAAATTTCCACTGAACAAGCACTTTTGCAAGAGAATTGGCAGGGCTGACTGCTTGTGGAATGGAAGCAGCGGTGGGTTGCGCTTGACAGATGGGCAGCGCTGGATACTGCCCAGATTTATAGGGACATTATAATGCAGAGTGATTTTGCAACTTTTTAAGGAATTGATTAAGTTCTGTAAATTTCAGGATGAATGAAAGTCTGTTTCCTGATTCACAGTATAGGCTTTTGAGAGTTGTCCTGGCCCTCATCTATATCTAGAGTGAGATCAAACCCAAAGTGGTGCAACATTTAGAAATATAAAAGCTGCATGAGCGTAAGCTATAACACACACATCATTCTTCAATGCTATCTTTATTCCAGTACACACTTTCCCATCTGTTTCCAAGTTATTCCTATATTGATGAATAGCTCTAGCTTGACGGATTGGCAGCAATTGTTCTTGGTGAAGCCTAGACTGGAAATAAAGAGTAAATGACAGATGTCATCTGTCTGCTTGGTTTTGCTTTTTACACTTACATTGTTCCCAGAAAATATGGGAACTTTCCCCCCTTTTGGTTCTGTATACTGCTTATGCAGAATCTAGGGGCAGAAAGGCAGCTGCTGATATAAGGAAAAAATGGGAAATGAGCGACGTTGATCCTTTTTCATGTCAACGTTCAGTGTCCACAGATCACTGCACATAAAAAGTTTGCTCCGCATGGTGCCCTTGTGTGGAGAGGCTGTACTGGCTGGCTAGTGAGAAAGAAACATGAGAATTGTGTATCTGATGGTCACTGGTTTATTCTTGCTAAGAAAGCAAAGAGGAAACTTGCAGTTCCTGTCAAAGAGGCTGAACAGTTCGCCTAAAAATAATGGCCTGTATCTCGGGTCTCAGGGGCACTTCAGGTCTTGTTTGCACAGTCAGGAGTTCAGGGCATTTGTTGCTGAGGTTGTTGTTTGGGGGTTATCTACGTTCGCCTTCTTCGCGCGTGTGTAGGCGCGTGTACGCGCGCGTGTTGGGGCTGCGCTTCATTTCAGGGGTCTGTCACGCGGTCCTCTCCTCTGGCTCCGGGGTTCAAATCCATGATTAAAGCCTGCCTGAAAGCACTGGCTGCTGGTTTGTTTTTTCGCGGTGGTTGCCGACCAGCAGCCGCTCCGCATCCCGAGGGGGCCCGGGCCGCGCAGGAGGCGCGCTGGGACTCGGGCTGGGGCAAGCGCCAAACGAGGAGGCTTGCGCGGGTCGTTCCTGGGGGAGGAGAAACGCCCGAAGGAAACCATCTCCCGTCCCAGCAGGAGTCCTGGGAAAGAGGTCCCGGGGCAGGGAGCGAAGGAGGAAGGAAGAGGGGTGGGGCGCGGCGGAGAAGAAAAGGGGCGCGGGCGAGCGCGCCGCAGAAAGAGGAGCGCGCGTCGCCCGGAGAGCGGCGCTGCCTGGCGGGCGGGCGCGGGCGAGCGGGGCGCCGGGTAGGGGAGGCGCAGGGCTCCTCGCTTGCCTTCCTCGCAGGCATTGGCGGCGCCCGGGGCGGAGGGGCACGCGGGCCTCCTGGAGGCGCCCCGGCGATTGAGCGCAGACGCGCCTGGCACGGGCCGGGTCAGCATGGCAGCGCGGGAAGCGCGGCCGGCAGCCGTCTCCCGCCGCGCCTTGCCGCTGCGCCCGCAAGCAGCCCCGGGCAGCAGCCCTTACGCGCGCCCTGCCCGGAGGAAACTCCGCAGAGCCCCCTGAGCGCCTGCGGCGGTCGAGCTGGCCGGCAGAGGGCCGCTGCGGGCTGCAGCCCTCCGTCCGCCGGGCGGGGGCAGCTAAGGAAGCGCGGCGCCGCCGCCGCCGCCGCCGCCGCCGGGGCAAAAGGCGGTTCCTCGCCGCCACCCCCTCGCAGCCTGCCTTGCCGACCCAAACGCATGGCAAGGCTGAGATGTGGAGCGGGAGTCTCCTTGTGGATTCTTGCGCTGGCCCTTCTCAAGGTGGGTGACAGACGCTCTCAGGACAAAGGCGGGGGGCTTGCGAGGCAGACCCGCATCTCCCCTCCCGCTTAGCGCATCTCCCTTCGCCCCCCGCACCCCTGTTGCGGCCGCTCCTTCCATCCGTCTCTTTACTTGCCTTGCCTTCGCGCTCAACATCGCTGCATCCCGGGATGGAAGAAGTGCTGCTCCCTCCTTTCCCTCAAGGTGGTTAGAGGACCACTTCAGGTGCTTTGCTCACTATCAAGTCAACATTGCTTCGTCCGTGGTAAATACCACCTCCCATCCCTCCTGCCCGTGATCCTTCCAAGATGTTCAGGAGAGTTGAAGTGTTAGATTTCCCTCTGCCACCACTTTTCTGCATACTTGAGGGTGGATTTGATGTTTTGTTCCATGGCTGGGATTGTGTTGACATGTGGCATATTTACACAGACAAATACATACGTGGAATTACTTTCCATCAAAACAGAGAATGCTGCATTGTATTTTTAAGATTAAAGGGCAATTTAGCGTGGTAGAGAAAGAGGAGAAAGGAAAAAGACCTCTTAGACTTCACCTGCTGTTTCTGATCCTTCTCTAGAGCGGACTAGGAGCACCAGTAAAATGCACCATCAACCATCCAGAGCCAAAGGTCTCCAGCCAGTCTGTCTATCTCAGGTGGAACAGCTTGGGGAATACCTGTAACTTCAACGTAACCTGCAGTTCCCGCAATGCCTTACACAGGGTTTGCCATCCCATCCAGAAAGCCAACGGTTCCTTTGAGTGTGACTTCAATGGCCTGGAAGCAGGGACTTTGTATTATTTCAAGATTGTCTCTCTGTCTGATGGAGAAAACAGCACTCTCACATTGCAAACAGGTATGGGAGGCAGGTGCAGCTTTGATAAGGATAAGGCATGGAGGAAGGCTCTGCTGTTGTCTCTGTGATGCTAATCACATCAGATTCAGTTTGATATAAAATGAACAGAAATGAACTTTGAGATGGCCTGACAAAGAAAATTCTTAACACTTTTCAGTATATTCTTTTTTTAAGTTGGTGGGTACAGAACCAATCTTCACCTTGTTAACATCAGGTCGTAAGAACAATCTCCCATAGCAAGGTGTGCAACTAGCTGGATCCCATTAAAGGATATGGTTTGTAATCTCAAAAAGCCTTTGTAATCAGACCTAGAAATGGATTTGTTAAAAATGTCATAGTGATTATTGTGCTAGTAAGCTCACATTAACAGTTCCTATTGACTTTAATCATAAACTTTTTAGGAAGCAGCTGGGCAGGTTCATTCTAATTTAGGCATCTTTCATACCTGGATACTTTTTTTGCACAAGAAACTTTAGTGATTTTGCTGATACATATCCGAATGATTTTCTTGTTTTCAAATAATGCAGTTAAATAACACTGCAAATCCACAATCTGTACTTCCTACACATATAAAAGCGAAATCACGCATGGAAACTCATTTAAGCTGTAACCTTTCCACACTTACCTTGGAATAAGCCCATTGAATGCAAAGGAAATTGCATTATGTAAGAGCAAGTGATTATTATACTTTTTCAAGGAAATGTAATTATCCTGAAGCATATTTAAATAACCTGCTTATGCATGTTAAATATTAATTGACAGAAAGTGTTAGTTCAAGATTCTGTCATATGGTAATCTTATGAATTATCCTATAAAGACACACACCTTAATGGAACAATCCTATGCATGTTTGGACAGATAAAGGTTCTGTAATTCCCAGTTTACTCCAACCAGCATAGCTGCTGGAGGGGATGCAGTGATTTCCCTTTTATTTATTTTTTCCTGGCCAAGTGTAGATAGGGTTAGGGTGCAGGATTTCTCCTTTATGCTGTAATATATCTGATGCAAGCTGAATATCCCAAAGTGACTATTTCCACAAGGTATTTTCTTGTCAATACCAACAAGGTGGGTGACAGATGCTCTCAGGATGTTCTCTTACAACAATATCATAATAAATGTAATGTCTGACAGCCAGGCAAAGCCACCGTTAAACTAGTACAAGGGGATGGTTCTTTAAAGATGACGGTAGCAAAATGTTAGTTCCATTGGGCTTGCAACATCATTTTACTAGCTGAATGATGAGTGCTCAAGGTAAATATTCACAGTGCACAGTGTTGTTTTTCACAACTGAAATGCTACGTTATTGCAAATATTTTGCATTAGATTTGCATTTGTATCTCGTTTTTCATGTTTCCTGGAAATTGTGTTCTATGAACAGACAAGGTGACGAATGGAACAATTTTCATTAATACTCTTATTATGAACTGTTAGAAGGAAAGAATTTAAACTGCAAAGTAGATACCTTTTCAGCTTGCCAATGTTTCATACATTTCAACGTAACACGCAATGACCCAAGTCCCGATATTGCTGTTCTTGGATTGCCAAGCATTGCAGCTGATGGAAACCAATCTAACTAAAAGTTAATATACAGATTAAGGGAACTGGCTCAAAGACAGTTATGGGACTGTTCATATGTAACCCTAACCCACCATGGGATAACATTGCCATGGAGCTTAGCAGAACCTGCTGGGTACCATTTTGAATATTCAAGCAGTGGCACTCCTAGTATAGTGTGAAGCTGGTGCCAAAGGTCGTTGAAGTGGGGATGCCCTCAGATAATTATAGCTTGTTTTACAGGAATTTGAAGGTAGAACATCCCACAACAGCAGGTTCACATGAGACAACAAACCACAGTCTCCATGCAACGCGTATGCTTAGCACAACAGAACAGCTGCTCTCACCACATCAAGCCACACTGGGCTTTGATGTAAATTGCCCAGAGAGCTTTGGTTATGGGCAGTATTGAAATGAAATAAATAAGTAGTGATAATTGTGTTGTGTGAGCCAGGTCACTGTCTTTTAGCATAAGGAGGTCTGTGTTAGGACATCTTTCCAGCCTCCCTGGTACCCTCGTGGTGTGTAGGGCTGCAACATCATTCTCAGGGAGCATGGCCAGTTACCTTGCTGGATGTGGATCGTGAGAATTGTAGTCCTACTTACCTATCTGGAAGCTGGCTGCCAGGCACTGGAAGGCAGTCTCTATAACGAGTGTCGGGAAATCTTGATTCAGTGGAAAAGAGAATAAGTTGCAGCTAAAGGTATGCATTTTCATTACATTGCGGGGACGGGGGTGAATTCCCTTAGCCAATATTGAACATGTGCATTCTAAAATAGTGCCATGTTAAGGGTGAATCACGTATTAGTGATATTATGACAAATTATTGTTTATGTTCTTAAATGTTGTAGGACTTCACATAATCAAAAGTGAATCTGCAATCCTATACATGGTACCATGGGAGCAGGTTGCATTAAACCAGTGAGGCCTGTATGAGATGCTACTGTAAAGCATTTTTATTTGAGATCAAAGAGTTTGTATAAACTATGCAGAGACACAGACATCCTGACATTATGTAAAAGCAATAGCTTTTGTGATTTGGCTGTAGTCAATTAATTATATGATCTGGATGCAGTCTATTAATTATGTGGAAGACTAAAGATAAAAGGCTAATTCCTTGTTCTGAGGCCACTTCAGATGCAGTGCCAGGAAGCAGGATAGAAACTGAAGTAATAAGAATACCCTGTACAAGTGAAGTGGGATTCTTATTCTTACATCTTTTCAAAAAGTACAATTTTAATACAAGTTTTCCAAGTATGTTCTCTTACTTAAATGTCAGTTTCTGTAGCTAGACTATGCTAAGACTCTCTAAAGTATCTTCATAGAAATATTTTATTTCTATGATATATCTGTATTGGACAATTGCCAGTCAAGAACTGTGTAACAACGTAAATGGTTTTTTAAGTGTTTGTTTCCAGCTCTGTCTTTTCAGGCCAGGCACTTCCCAAGCTCATTGTTCCTTTGTTCTAACGGATGTGCATGTGCGGAGCACTGACTGTTTTGTGCTCTGGCCTAGATAGATTAGATAAAGTCTGAATTTCTGAACTTCGCCTTCTAGGCACGCAACCTTTCTCTTTGCTCCAGGAATTGTATCCCACCTCTAAGTTCTTCATTGGTTTAGATATTGATTTAGGGGACAACCTAACTAGTTTTAAATGCTCTGAAATCCCATTTAGGAGGAAAAGCAGAAAGCTAAATGTGCTTAATATTTCCACTGAAATCAATGTATGGCTAGAAAGGGCATCTCCATCCCGCACATTCAGGGCAGGTTATAATCTGTTAAAAATACAGACTCCTTTGCCAGCTCTTACAACCCAACTCTCATCCATATTATTCCTCTGTTTGCCAGAATCCAGAACCATGTTTAGGGCTTTATCAGTCACAGACTGATCTTTGAATTACTGATGTACCAGTGTCTTCCGCTTCTATCGACCTCCCTCTGCCATGAACTAGCAGCTGGAACATCCATAATGCCATCAAGGGCAGCCTGTGTCTTGCAGTGGTCTAGGCACAAATCGGGGAGAAAAGGCCACTTGAACTTCAAGAGAGGGAATGCAGAAGACAGTTCAGGGATGGCGAACTGGCAGCCTGAGGGGAAGGCTCCTTTCCTGTCACGTGACCTCTTGCAGCTTGACCCTATGGGTGGACTTATTTGGATGGATAGTCCTCCCTTGTGCTGATTTACTCCTGGCCCATGCCATTTCCTGAGTGACCCCACAGAGGAGAAAGCACAGCCCAAGCAAAAAGCAGAGACTGGTGCCCTGCTTATTGCTTCCATCCATGCAAAGTAAGAACACCCAGTCAGCTTTCTGTCTTTGAAGAAGCACCCTCTTATGTCACATAGTCAGACTGGGAAAAGTGCATGTGAACATTTTTGCGTGGGGCTTCTGGCCAGGTTAGAATCAGCCAGTTTGAGAGCAGCATTGTTTCCTCACGTTTGTGCAGGAATTTGTGCTATCATGCTGAAAATAATTGTGAACCATTTCCATCCTGGTTAGCCTTTGCTTGCACAAAGTGGTACTCATCAAATGTTTCTGCACAAGCACTGGGTGCAAATGGTTTCTTCTGGTCTGTTGCCCATGTGACGCATTAAGTCCTCCCACCTGCACGATGATCACCATCAAGCCACCATTTCCCTTTTCTTCCCTAATTCGGTGTTTGCCTTTCTGTGCAATCCTATAAATATAGATACAGACTTGAATTTAGTGGTAGTTACGTGTATATAAGAATATAGCTTTACGCCTTTTTATGCCTCACTTTGCATGGAATGCCACCCATTCCTCTCCTATGGCCCAGACACCTCTTCCTCGCTTCCCCACAGCCTTCTGCTCTTTTCTTTGTCTCCCCTGTGGCTGCTTCAGAGAAAGCTTAAAGCTTTTGTGACTAACATCTTTTAAAAGATTAAGCAAATGATGGAATTTTGTGCTTTGTACGCAGATCCTGCACCACCTGCAAGATTTGAAGTCAAGAAGGACGCAATTACAGCCACAGCCTTGCAGGTCTCCTGGAGTCCATCCCCAGGAAAGGTAGACTGGTATAAGCTACAGTTGTTTGATAACACAAAAAAAGTTGCAGAGATCCAAGTTCCTGGAGGCACTTCACAAAATCAACACACTTTTACCAATCTTGTCCCTGGCAGCAGATACACTATCTCAATCACTGCAGCTGCTGGAAATAAAAAAAGTGCTTCAGTCGATATCAGCGGTTCAACGGGTAGGATTTCTCTGTTTAACTAATTTCATGTTGGAATATTATTTAATTTCCATAAAGGCATGTAAGGGATACCACTTTACCAGACTAGAATTATTTATGCTCGATAAGGGTATGAAAACCAGGCATGCCATGTCCACGCTCTAGTCCAGATGTTTCAAAAGTTTGTTGCCTTAAGGAACAGGCTTAAGGAGATTTCCAGAGTGAAACTCTGCAGACCTGGGGGCCTGTGTAGGACCGCCCTCCCCAACCTGATGTCCTGCAGGTATATTGAAGGATACCTCCTTCATTCCCAGCCATCATGGCACCAGGTTGAGGAGAGAATGAGGTAGGGTAAGAAGTATGTGGCAGAACGAGCAAAGAATTAGTTACGGAGAGCCTGCTGCTTGACTTCTGTGGCAATTGCATGACCAATGCAAAATAAGGAAACTTGGATTGAGAGCGTTCTGGACAGATGCAGACTGACAGAAAAGGCCAGAAATCCATAGTATGGAGCAAGCCATATATGGGCCTTTTTTGCAGATAATAGTAACCCAATGCTTTCTTTAGCACACAGCTTGCCTTACTGAGGGTTTGACTGGCAGAAAAACTGTGACTTGTGTTTTCGGTGACTGGGGTGATTGTGATTGTCTTTCTTTACCGCTCCCAAATGCCTCTGCAGCCCTGATGTATCAGAATGCTGAGCGGCTCTGTGTGTGTGTTTGCTTTTAACAGTATTGCTCACCACATTGCAGCCTGATGAAACAACCCAGGAACAATATACTATTCCGAATTCACATATAGTGACAGTCCATAGTTTAAACAATTCAAAGATTACAGTCCAGGAGCAACCATGAGATCTCTTCCTGGGTTTGTGATTTCTTAATGTGGCTGCATTCACACGTCATGTCAACTCAGAATTAAACTACCCATACCGTGGGTTAGTACTATGTGCAAGCTGAAAGACTGTATGCTTTCTTATATCATTGGACTAGGAATAAGAGTAACCTGGAAAGGCCACACATCTTTCTTGATATGGAGAAGTTAATCTATAATGCTAATTTTTCTTCTATATATGACATAACATTTTGCACAAAAACTATTTAGATATCTGATGTTTCCCATTTTAAGGATTTTGTGGTGTTTTTAGCAAATCCTAAATATTTTTAAATAGCTATAGAAGTTTAGGTTTATAAACCCCCTCCCCCCCTCTCTCTCTGCTTAATAGTTCCTTCTCCCGTGGAAAATGTCAAGGTCTTAGTCAAGATGGAGTCAATCCACGTGTCTTGGTTGCCAGGAGTTGGAAATGTGGATCAATATAGGCTTGTTTTACTCCCTAAAGATGGTCCAGTTCAAGAAAGAGATCTAGAGAAACAGTACTTGTCATGCAATTTTTCAAGACTAACACCAGGATATCTGTATAATCTCACAATAATTGCCAAGGCTGATGGGCTGGAGAGCTACATTTTTAAACACATTAGGACTGGTAAGATTTTGCAAACTTTTTTTCAGCATAAGAGTAAAATAAAATCACTAAAATTGATCAGGATAAATCAGATATTCATCTTTAAAGCACACAGTTGATGCTGCAACCTGTGGGAGAGTTGTAGTAGGCATTGAACAGCTTTGTTTGCATAAACATTCCCGTATATGCAGCTGGAGTACTACATGATACTGTTTGACATACCTGTAGCTGCCTTGGGAAAGTCTAAAGTCTTGAACTACTTGAGGTTAGTAGGGGTTACAATAGTCAATGAGCTCATGAGCTCAAAATTTTATATTGTTAATTTGTTTTATGTATTATATTTTATGTTGTGAGCCGCCCCGAGGCTTCGGCGAATGGGGCGGCATAGAAATGTTTCAATAAATAAATAAATGAGCATTTCCATGTACACATGGATGCCCAGAATTTATGGAGCACCATGTCTGTGGCTGAAAGGGAAGTAGCTCTCAGTAAGCAATGAAATGGATGTACATAAGAGATCCATTCTCAGAAATCACTCACTGGATCAGAGCAAATGAGTGTAGCAGGGTCAGTATTTGGCATGTTTTAGATTATTTCATTCTGAATTAAGGTACATTTATCCACCCTTTGTAGTGTAGATCCTGTAGGCATGGTTATATTATTGAGTTATTTAGCACAGATCTTACCACTGTGTTACCGTGAATGAAATGTTAAACAGCAGTAGTCCTTGCAGTAATAGCAATGGAGTTTTTCAAAAATCATTCTCATATGACCTGGATCTACTGGAGCCTATTTAATTAGATAGTAATGCAATAAAAAGCAAGAAGTTCCTCTCAAACTTTGAAATGAATCATTATCTTCTGTTGCATGCATCTGATTACTTTCTATTAGGGTTGAGATTAGTGTACTCAAGGTTTATTTTATTGCTTGAAAGTTGCTTTTACATTTTGTTAAATTAATTCCATCTGTGCATTACAGATTGTTAAGCGTCTGTCATTCCATCATCCACTCACTTTTTCCCAGAATTTTGTTATACTCGCACTAATTCACCTTAGCGCTAATGAGCATTAGTGCAAATGTATTAATCCAAATCAGTTAATGCCTATTAGCACTGGTTTGAATTAGCTTGAATCCCCTAAAGTTTTTTTTTTAAGTCCACAAGTCTGCAAAATCCATACAACTTTGAAAAAGCTGTTTCAGTGTAGAATCTACAGGTCAGTTTTATAGATGTCCACACCTAATATCTTGGAGATTGCCCCAGCTTCCTTATTCATGGCTCTGGGTTAGCTAGCAGCCATTGTTTTTCCTGATGCTTCAATTATTTCTCCCTCTTGTTTTCTTCCTTGTATTTATTTATTTATTTATTTATTTAAAACATTTCTATGCCGCCCCCATCACAACAAAGCCTCGGGGCGGCTCACAACATACATAAAATACCATCAATAATTTAAAAACTGGTACCATCTCGGCTATATATTAAAATCTATAAATACAATAATAATAAATTAACAATTAATGTATGGTCCTAGCCAATCAGAGCTCATCTGTCAGACATGGTGATGTCAAAATACTATTTCACCATCAGATCTGGGAGTTTCATGAGGGAGAATTAAGTCCATTTAGATCCTCTGCAGATGACAAGAGAAAGCCTAATCAATCAGAAATGATTGATGAAGAGTTTGGCAGCCCCAAATAATCCCTGAAAGGGAGAACTCTTTTGATGTTCTAAGGAACAGTTCTGCTAAGCATGACTCTGTATTACTAACTAAGCACTGATAATAGAATTGTCCCCAACCTTTTGCCTTCTGAGCATATAAATGTTTCTTACTGATTTTTATTATTTCTATTATTAGTCCCAGCCAGTGTCGTAGATTTGATAGTATCTAATGGTGGCAGCTCAAATACATTAAAAGTATCATGGAAGAAGCCTCCAGGAAACTTTGATTTCTACAATATCACCTTAATTCATCTGGGATCTGTTAAAGAATGGAAAACTTTACAACCACAAGTCACGGAAACATATTTTGACAAGCTAATTTCAGGACGCCTTTATCAAGTTAATGTCAGCACAGTCAGTGGTGAACTGTTCACCGAAATGACAGCATATGGAAGAACGGGTATGTTTTTAGCTTCATCATGTACTTTTGAATTACAAGTACTTTGACGTTTTGTGACTATCACCTTTTTTGCAGTAAATTATGTCATGTTATGTTATTCGCAAAGTCATGCCCCCATAGACAACATTCCTCCAGGCTCTCCTATCCTCCACCATCTCCCAGAGTCCACCCAAGCTCCATCTAGCCACCTCAACCTCTGCCACCCCCTTCTTTTGCCGTCAGTTGTTCCCAACAGTAGGTCTTCTCCAGTGAGTCCTTCCTTCTCATTAGGTGGCCAAAGTATTTGAGTTTCATCTTCTGTATCTGGCCTTCTAAAGAGCAGTCAAGGTTGATCTCCTCTAGGACTGACTGGTTTGATCTCCTTGCAGTCCAAGGGACTCGCAGGAGTCTCCTCCAGCAGCACAGTTCAAAGGCCTCAATTCTTTAGCACTCAGCCTTCCTTATGCTCCAACTTTCACAGCCGTATATTATTTATTTATTTACGATATTTGTATGCCATCCTTTGCGACAGCCTCAACATTACAACTGGGAAAACCATAGCCTTGACTGATACACACTTTTGTCGACAGGGTGATGTCTCTGCTTTTTAGTATGCTGTCTAGATTTGCCATAGCTCTCCTCCCCAGGAGCAAGCGTCTTTTAATTTCTTGGCTGCAATCACCATCTGCAGTGATCTTGGAGCCCAGGAAATAAAATCTGTCACTACCTCAATTTCTTCCCCATCTATTTGCCAGGAAGTGATAGGACCAGATGCCATGATCTTAGTTTTCTTAATGTTGAGTTTCAAGCCAACTTTTGCACTCTCCTCCTTCACCCGCAGCAAGAGGCTCTTTAGTTCCTCTTCACTTTCTGCCATTCTGTCATATCTCTTTGCCTGTTGATACTGTCCATGGGGTTTCCATGGCAAGGATATTGGAGTGGGTAGCCATTTCCTTCTCCAGTGGATCACCTTTTGTCAGTGCTCTCTGCTATGACCTGACCATCTTGGGTGGCCCCGCACGGCATAGGTCATAGCTTCATTGCGCTACACAAGCCCCTTTGCCACAGCAAGGCAGTGATCCATGAAGGGGTTGCAGTAAATACTATGGCTGAATTCCAACTTAAGGCCCAATCTTACTACAAGGATCATAGCCCCACAAAGTTGAAAGCTTATGCTCATCCTATACATGGCAGGAGGAGCAGCAGAGGCGATTTTGCCCATTTTTTCCCATCCTTGTTCCCTGCACTTTCACTAGGCAAAATTCTTTGTTTGTCTAGCTATCACATTTCAGAGGAGGCCCCTGGATAGCTCATGTCCTGCTGTCTCCCCACCCCACTCTTCCACACTCGCCAAAACACCACTTCTCCCCCTCTCCAGAGACACATTTCCAATGTCACCAAAGCAGCCAGCACGGTTTTTTCTATACCAACTGTGAGAAGAAGGGCAACAGAACTTGGATTCCCTCCTCCAGGTCCAGAGTGCTGTCTCAAACCTCAGCTCTGGGAATCCGGAATGTCTTACAGTCCCTCATACCCTGCCTAGAAGTCATAGGATTGTTTTCCAGTCGTACCAAAAGTAGACTTATTGAAATTGCTGAGACATGAGCTATTCATAAATTGCTTTGATTTCAGAGGGGCTTATACCTAATTCAAGCATAGTGTCCTTCTCTACAACAATTGTTCCCTCAGTCAGATTCACTTCTAGTTGAAGTACTAACTGGAGGAAAAAATATTAAAAGCTGTCCTGTGGGTATGGAAGCACAAAGCACTCCCTTCCACCTGCCACTGCTTCATTGGCAGTATCCTCCAACCCTTGCGTTAAGGAAATAGAATTTTGAACCATACCTTGGTTCTTTTCAGGCCTAAAAATGCATTTTGAGTTCACATGTACCTAGGCTAGTATTACATCAGAAGACAAATAGGAAGTTATTGAATAGATGTTAATTCAGTTCTACACTTGTGAATCAATTATTTCTTCCATGATATAAAGCAGTGCTCTTTTTCACCATGCCTTGTTGATATTCTGTGTTTCAGTTCCCCAGCAAGTTCCAGAACTCAAAGCAGACAGTATGGGTTCATTGAGATCTCTGAAAGTGAGTTGGCTGCCCCCTAGTGGAGACTGGGACAAGTACTATATTGTGCTGTTCGACCACGCCACGGTGTTGCTGAATACTACAGTTCAGAAGGATAAAAGAGAATACAGTATCAAAGATTTAGGGCTCATTCCTGGAAGGGAATATGAAGTGGCTGTTACTGTAGAAAGTGGAGGCTTGCAAAACACAGCACGCTGCAAAGGCAGAACAGGTAAGCAAACTTTTTATGAAGACAGAAGGAAACCTGGAAAACATACAAAGAAATTGTTTTGGGTGTGGGGTGATTAAATGAAGTTACATATGAAGCAACCACCTTAATATAATGCTTCTAGTGAGAGTTATATTGATAGATATTCTAAACCTTGGCTGTGTTTGCATGAACAAAAACAGCATTTGGTATATCCGTAAAACAGGATGAAGTATCTTAATTCTGTATTGGTGTTTGAGTGTTATTATCATATAGGCATGGCTTTACACTTGGGTCCCCAACCATTTTGGGCCCATGGCATATTTGGCAGTTTGAGAAAGTGCTGTGGTCACCACCATAAAATGCCCAGTCACTGGCTCACTGCTTGGGCACCTATCATTTTGTAGATCTTAAGCTCTGTCATATTCAGGAAAAACTTTTGTTTGTTGGACACCACAGTGTCGCTTTAATAAGGGATTTTCTAGTTCAATTAATTGCTGTTGATTGGATTCAGCTATTACTTCTATGACAAACTGATTTTGGCAAGGTTTGGTAGCTGTTTCTTTTAAGAAAGAGGTTATTCTGATAAAAATTGTACTGCAACAACCTTTAACATTAGCAGATATAGCTGCTGTTTTAAATCATTTTATATGGAAAGTAACAAGTAAGTGGATCCTTCATGCCTGCTTTTCTTGAGGCATATCCATAAATACTAGCGAGTTTTGTGCATTTCATACAATCCATGTAAGTGTATTTAAAAACCGTGGGAAATGCATGAGCCCATGGGTGCCACACTGGGGGCCCCATTATGAGTGCCACAGGAAGTGCCCATGAGGATCACAGTGCAGTGTGAAACTACCGCAGGGCATCTTTCCACCAGCAGTAGCCAATAAAAGCCCTTGAAAGAACGCACTCAGGATGTGGGGCAGAAACAGCCTGGCTCTACCAGATTAAAGGCCTCTTCATTGTCCTTCATAATAATATGTTACAGAAATTTTGCACTGGAAAGACAGAGACCTTCCATCCTTTTAAGGCCTTTAGGAAAAACTGAAACCATTCATACTCCCAAACAATTAAAGCACAACCAAAAAATTATCTTGTGGCACCATAAAGACAGGCACATTTATTTTGGCATATGTTTTCATGGACTACAGTTCATCAGAATTGTTATCCTGAGTTGATTGGAAGGTATCCGACTGAAGCCCATGGGACTTTATCCTCCACCACATGACCTGAGATGCATTTGTGTCTTTACATTTAAATTTCTAGTGCAGATTCTGCTCTGCATGAAAATCAGAAATCGAAGTGGTTCTCTTTATTTTAGCTAAAGTTGCATCTTATCTACACAAGATTCTCTCCATCCTATGCTACGACCTTGCAGAATTAGTATGATGAGAAGCATCCATGAACAGTAGCAAGACTAAAGTGTGGTTGCTCCATGCCATTTATCTCCTTATGCTCCAGTTCTGTTTGAATGCTTCATACATAGAAATCAAGAGCTGCCAGTTCCACAGATATGAAGACAGACGAAAAACTAAAGAGAACAGCTGCTTAGTATTCCAAGTGAAAGAAGAGTATTTTGAACAAGGGGTCAAAATAAATTTAAGACTAAATAACAGGAAATTCTTCTTTACTGTAGGAACAGTTAGGAAATGAAACAAATTATCCAAGGAGATTGTATAATTTCCTCTGATATGTCTTAAGAAATGGGTGGGCATCTGTGAAAATATTTCATGGAGTCTTTCAAAGTAACTCCCCTAAGTATCCTTCCAAATCTCTGATTTCCTAAGTTCTTAGAATACTATTCTTCCTAAAGCTTCTGCGTTTCTCAGGGTGGCTTTGAATTTTCATCTCTCAGAACAGCATTTAATAGAGGGCCGTGGTGAAATATAGCAGTATTTAATTATGTGTGAATTTATACTTGTCTCTTAAGCAATAGCAAAACTAGAGGACAGTGATGCTTAAATAGAAAATGACATCATAAATGTCTCCCAAAATCTATTCATGCTTATTTCAGCCAGAGGACCAGAAATTAACTTTTTAATTATTCTCTGAAAACTGGGATTCCTGTCATTTTGACAGGAGAATGTATATTGCCTGAAACAGCCCTGGAGAACTACCATATATGGTCCATTAAATGGAAGCCTCCCACCCCTGTAATAAGCTGCTGTGTGCAGCAAGCCAAGTATTCCAAATGTACAAAAAGGAAGGGAGTGACCAGAAAAACAATAGATAGGAGGGTGTATAAGAAGATCAGGGTGGGAAACTGAGCCTTATCTTACACCTCGTGTTGATTATTTTTCCTGCTACACCCTCTCTTTTGATTCTTTAGACTTTGCACACATTTTGACTCTTTGACACTATATTCTTCATAAACACTGAATGCCAGATTCTTGTCAACCATAGAAACGTGCTATTCATAGTCATTTTGTGACCTACCAAAAGTGAAACAGCTATCAGGTAATAATACGCCAGTGTAGCCCCATGGAAGAAGAGAATAAAATGATTGGACAAAGAGTTTCATGCCTCTGTTGAAAAATAGTTCTGGCATTCAAGCTATGGACACAGTTCTTTGCAAGTTTAGACAGAAATTGGGGCATGCTGGGAGTTGTAGGTCTTCTTCTGTCTAAAAGTCCATAGGATTGCACCTTAAGATTATTGGATTGCTGTGCAGAATCTTGCAAAGTGGAAATTCAGCCATTTCTGTAAAGTGCTGGATCATACCATTTACTTTTAACTTTGGGGGGGGGGGAGATACAGCTGGAATTTGCCCTTGGAATCTTTACTGCAGGTAGTTGGTGAATTTTGAAGAGTAGTCTTCATATAGCATGCACCTCCAAAGAGGTGCTTCTCCCATATACATTCTACTCTGTTTGAAGATCATGTTGTGAAATCCTAGCTAACATAGCTGTATGCCATAAAGAGGAAAATTGTAACCCTTGATATCTAAAACACCCTTTCTCTAACAGCAGCCAAACTTGTACACAGAAATTCATTAATCTGAAAAAAGACACAGCGAGGCCAGGCTCATTTAGGGAACAGCCGCTTCTCATGGTGGGCAGCATAGCTCAATAGTAGACCACATTCTCTGTATGCAAACAGTCCAGGTCCAGGTAGAAGGATATGGTAGATGGTAATGGAAGTGCCTCTTCCTGAGCCCTAAAGAGTTGCTGACAGTCACAGTAGACATGACAGGGCTAGCTGGAAAAATAAGTGAGATCTGGCATGAGGCCATCTGCTACATTCATTGTATAGCTGGCTTGTGTGAAATCCTTTCTTCAGCACACCTCTTTTTGTCTTGAACTGACCGACCACATGGATCAGCAACTTCTCTTCAGGTGCTTGCTAAACATTCCTAATGGTGGTTTTCACTGGCATGGATGCACAGTCAGGGCGAAGCCATGTGGTACTTCCGAACACACAGATCAGTTCACCATGTGGACCATAGCAAAGCTGTGACCAGTGATGTCCATCAGAAGTGATCTTGTGGGCAGCACTCCTACATCAGCTGCAGGAAAAACACAGCAAGATGAGGAAGATGCAGAAACCTCACATCTGTTTTAATACCTCCTTTGTACTGAATTAGCATCACTTCATTTAAGCATATGTAGTAATTTCCACATTCTTCTGTTTGGCCCATTGTATTTACTTTCCAGCATCATCGATTTTACCATTATGCAAAATAATAATAAATCAGAACTACTATGATTCAGAGCATCATTACAGACAAGTTCAGCATTCAGTGCTGCGGTTGCAGCTTAAATGTGTACAGAACTTTCTGTTTCATCACGTGCTGCAACCCTCCAACTTAGCACAGGAGCCTCACTAAGGTAAATCCTCACAAGCCTTGTCTGAAAGGATATAAAAGGATTTTTCCTCTCTTCCTTTCCACAGCTCCACAGCCCGTTCTTCTGCTCCGCATCAAGCATGCAAATGAGTCCTCTCTAAGTATCATGTGGGCAACCCCAGTGGCTGACTGGGATAAATATGTGGTTTCATTGGAAGACAGAACACTCATTGCCATAAACAAGGGTCTTGATAAGGAGGCCACGGAATTCACGTACACTAACTTGCTACCTGGACGAAAGTATACAGCCATTGTCACCAGCATAAGTGGGAATCTGAGCAACTGGACTTCAGTTGTTGGACGCACAGGTACCATATCCTGGGCACACTGTTAATCCTGCTTTTCTTAAACAGCAACGTGGGGTATAAGACTACCAGTGGCTACTAGGCACTGAATCCTACTTACCTGGAAACATGAGCAAGACGCTCCTGCTCTGGTTGTGGCACTCTTGCCCTGCTTGTGGGCTTCCCACAGCCACCTGGTTGGCCCCCATAGGAACAGAACGCTGGATGACACGGACCTCAGAACTTAGCATAACTCTGTTATGTGTTTATATTCTTAACACTCAATGTAGTGCTTTCTTGGAATTAAATTGCTTCTGAACCTCTACATGTGTTTTGAAAATAGACATTTTACACATGCAAAATTAGGGACGTAAGAGGAGCCGCGGTGGAGCAGCCTGGGGCAGAATTCTCTTCCAGCAGTGCCTGGCCAGATGCTTATAGCAGCATCTGCAGGTAGACCATGGGCACAGCTGGGCATGCTCATGTTTCCTTGCAGCTGATACTGAGAAGCATCATACTTTTCACAGTGGAGCCAGCATGTTTAGCAGTCGTTACCCTCCAGGAATTTCCAGTCCCTTCTTAGAGGCATCCAAATGGTGGCCATTACTACAGGTTGTGCTAGCAAAGTCCATAGTTTAATTATGTACTTTGCAAAGTAATATCCCTTTTTATGATATTATAATATTGGCAGTTTTCTTTTCAGTTCCTTTCCCAATGATTCCCAACATGGAATCTTCCTTTTTCATAGCAGACTCACAGCATCAGTGGCCCAATTTTCAAGTGCTAAGACTCTTACTTTAAATTCAAGGAAAATTCCAGAGTTTTGACTTTGGAGTAGAATAGGAACCTATAAAATATCTCTTTATTAAGCATAATAATCTTGAATTGTGCTTCTGTCATCCCAGTGGAGTGGTCCGTGTCCTGGTGTGCATATGGCCCAATGAAACACACAATAGGTGTAAAGATTTTCAAAGTTTATTCTACAGAATAACGGCTGCCAACAAATCACTCCAATGTGGTGTACCCTGAGCACCCCCCAGGTTGTCCTTTTATACATTATACTTTCAAAAGTTACACATAGGACTGATAGAGCTTCCTAACAGACTGTTAAAGTGTGTTGGGTTTTTTTTCTTGCAATGGTGTTGCTTTTCCCGCCTGCATCCTGAGAGGAAGAAGATGTTCCAGAGGTGGTGGGTGGTGGGAGTGCTCCAGAGATGAGAGGTACCATGTGTTAATAGCCCCTTGTTATCTGCATGGCCGTTCCCATATGCCCCTGGCCAGCTCAGTAAAAGTTCAAGGAAGCATACACACTTTGCTGCACATAGGAGGCCTTTCTGTGGCCTGTGATATTTAGCTAAAGCCAGTGGTTTAATGCTTAAATGTATAATTTCTGTGCTTTCTGGTTTACTCACCAGTTCCAGCTCAGGTGACATGTTTACATGTGGCAAACCAAGGATCAACTGACAGTCTCTTCACCAACTGGACAAGGGCACTAGGAGACGTCGATTCATACCAAGTGTTGCTCATTCATGAAAATGTGGTCAAAAAAAATGAGAGTGTTTCCAGTGACACCAATAAATACCACTTCCATTCTCTAAAGCCTGGAGGACTCTATTCAGTGGTTGTCACCACAGTTAGCGGAGGAATAATTTCCAGACAAGCAATTGCTGAAGGAAGGACAGGTATTACTTTGTTTATCTAAAAAGCATACATTCTACCCATTTTCCAGAGAGAGAGAATGGATAGTGTCAAAGAAACAAAATGGGCAATATTTAAAACAATTACTGTTTACACCTTATTCATACAACCATCCAATTAAAAATGACCTTAGCAAAACAAACCAAGGATTTTCTTAAAAATTAGCAAATTTCTTCTTAAAGAGCCACGCATACACATGCTGTCTACAATGTAGTGGTGGAGTTGACCAATCTCTGTTGGCAAAATTTTCCATAAGGTAGTTGCAATCACAAGAAGGTTCCAAAACAGAGTGTAGGAGCGCTTTAAACCCAAAGGCCAAATCCATTTCAAAAGACCTTTCAGAGGTACTCCATTGGTGGGTGGAGCCAAAGGCAAAGAAAGCGAGGCCAAGATACTAGCATATTTTAGCTTAAAGTTCTTCCTGTCACTAAGTCTTAAGAGAGTCATTTCAACCATTTAGAATGGGGGAAAAGAATGTTCAGAAGCAGGGAAAACGCCAAACAACTGGTGGTTGAAGGAAAGGGCTGTGGCCATTGGGTATTCTGGCCTTTTCGAGTGCAGAAAGACTTCAGCAAGTCCGGAAGCCAGCAGAAGAGGGTATAACCAACCTGGGGAATCCAGGCCTTCTTTAACTCTGCTCTGTAACTTGCATCTGGCAGCTTAACTTCCGAAGGCCAGGAGATCTGAGGTAATGCCTCAGGTGATGATGAGAGGATGCAGAAGGGCAGGGGGAAGAAAAAGAATAATTACTTTAATGAAAAGGAATATAAAGGATGTGTAAAATCACAGAGAGATTTGTTTCCCAGTCCACAGAAAATCCACCTACCCGCTCAAATTTCAGCAAGTCATCTTTGGGCTGCCATGCTTCATTCCTCACCTGAGGTGCAGCATGTTTGCATCATGTGCTTTATTCACACTTGTACTCCATCCTGGATACTGTAATTTTTAGACAGTCTTCATGGTTTCAATACATGCACCTTTTCCTTGTATAAGTAAATGCAGTTGGGTGCAAGTTTTAAACAATTAAACCTTGTACCTAGCACAAGAATGCATAATGAAAATCCATGTAAGGCTGACTTTGATTGAAATTTGATAGGTGCCTGGTAACTTTGTCAAGTGATGGCCGAAAAATCACGTGATAGAATCAAGGTTTGGCAATGGCAGAATATAGCATCTGAAAATTCTAAATGAGTGACATTGATCCATTGAAATATCCGTGCTTGTTGAGGATGGGTCTCACTGAGAAATGATTCATTATATTAGAAGAGTAATATTCTGAGAAAGCTTCTGATATAAATTAGAACCACTAGTTATGAAAGAACTGTACATAACTTTTGTTTCACTTAAGATAAAATTATTAATTATTTCCACTAGAGGGCAGCAAACTCTCAGTATTTATATAAAATTTGTAGAACTCATCTACTGTGGTGATGTAGTTTTTAATGCACTTTTAATTAATTTTGTAGATGCTGTGACTCATGTTACTCCAAACTGATTGCTAATTTTGGTAGGTTGTTTTGTTTCTTTGCTCACAGAAGAACAAACAACCTCTAAGATATGAATCACATTCCCAGGATTTTTTTTTTCTGGTGTTTTTTTCTGCATTTGTTGGCAAGCTCGATATAAATCCCTGTCCTTTAAGAATTTGCTGACTCAGTGCTCTGCTCCTATATGAGTGCAAACTAAATTTTTGGTCTCATATAAGAGGCAATGGAAGCATCTGTCGAAGCCACTGCGTGAAATATTTACCAAGCTTTAGACCACTAGGTGAGACAGCTTGTATGTACAGTATACTGAACATACAGTAAATACCTCCCCTTTTATTGCTTTGCCGTTTAGTTCCTTCCAGCGTCAGTGGAGTAACAGTGAACAATTCAGGGCGCAGTGACTACCTGAGTGTTTCCTGGCTGCCAGCCGACGGGGATGTGGATAGCTATTTGGTGACGCTCTCCCATGCAGGGCAGAATATTCACACTGTCACTGTTGCAAAATCTGCCAACGAATGTTCCTTCAACACTCTCACTCCTGGGAGACTCTACGACGTGACAATAACCACAAAGAGCGGAAAGTATGAAAATCATTCGTTCAGTCAGGAAAGAACAGGTAAAAGTGGTGGCAGGAAGAGCACAAAACATATTCAGACTGTCAGAGGTGCATCACGGCACAATTACGCTGGGCAGCCTTACCAAACCACATAAACCTCTCTCCACCTACAGCCAGCTGGCTGAAGGTGCTAAGCATTGTTGTCCAACCTACCTGAAGGGCTCTAGGTTGGGGAAGGTGGAACTAGGCATCTGTTTTCTACAACCTCAGGAAACATGAGGTCAGTCAAGGAAAAGAAAAATTATGTCATAGTAACAGAGGTACCATGTCTAAATATGACCCCCTTAAACGAAAGGCAAAATATCAACCACATTAAAGAAAACCTTGTTATCAAAAGAGTGAATTGCATACTAGAGAAAGAGCCTTGTGGCACCTTACAGGCTAACAAATTCATCACACACAAACTTTTGTGTAACAAACAGCATTCTACTTCATCTGATGCAGCAAGTGTTCTGCTGAGTTACAGGTAAACAGGCACATACAGTTGAGAGGAAGGCTGTAAATAGTGAAGTCGGAGAGGAGTACAAATGCAAGAAGTAAACAGTGCCATGCTATTATTAGAAAACAGTTACTGCTGATAACACAGACAGCCTGGCAAGATATAAGTGATGACAATGCAATATCCTGGCCGTGTATAAGTGAATCAGTACATTTAGTGAGCTAAAAACCTGGCCTCTCCAGTCAGAGCATAAATGATAGCTTGGCAGGAAGTGTTTTACAATACTTATTATCATTCACACTCACAACTGCATGTAATTGGACATTCATACCTCATCTTTAACCTGAAGTTGGAAGCAAGTTCTTGGCCAAGATGGGATTTTTGCCCGGATTTCATATGTCCAAAATGGCCCATCCTGGTCTGGAACGAGAGACCTGCTTGCGTATTACTTGCTGGGTTGGGAATTGCTAGAATAAAATCAGACGTACATTCAAATGCAAATGTTGCCTACACTGTGATGCTTTCGCTTGGGTGGGCATTTTGATGGTGCCTGAATCCACATTCTGGCCACATACTTAACTATGTGCAAGTATAGCTGGCTGAGGGTAGATACTCACTGGGTTTCACTCGTTCCTCTGACACCCTGTAATTTCCTTCTTGAATTAGCCTCGGCCTGTTTTGCACATCTATTATTTTCAAAATGGGACACGCTGAAGTTATGTTCTCTCTTTTCAGTGCCTTCAAGTGTCCAGGGACTTACGGTGAGCAATTCTGCAAGAAGTGACTATTTAAAGGTGTCCTGGCTGCACGGCACAGGAGACTATGATAATTATGAAGTGATCATCAAACACAACAATGACTTCATCCAAACAAAAAAAATCCCCAAGGATGAAAATGAATGTGTGTTCACTAACCTGGTTCCGGGAAGACAGTACAGTATCACTGTTAGCACAAGGAGTGGAAAATATGAAACTAGTGAAAGGGCCAATGGAAGGACAGGTAAGAAAATGATCCATGGTAGATAAAAATCATTGATTTGTTTTTTAAAAAAATAGAAATCATTTTTGTATTTAACTTCTGGATTTCATGTGAACCGATAATTTATCACAATTTAATTAATCCCCCTTCTAATGCAAGATTGTTGCTCTTTGTGAAGAAGGAGCTGTGCAGAAAATATGTCATCAGGATCATCCAATGAGCTCATCCCATGAGTTGTTTTATGCCCGATTGTCTAACCTTTGCAATATGGATGGTTCTGGAATTATTAATCATGTTGTTTCTGCAAACCAGAGCATGGCTTTCCAATTTCCACCCATGGAGAAACACATTTTTAGCCTGTAAATAACGTTCTTTGCTTCCAGAAAGTTCTGGACACTTGTTCCGCTCAGTTTTTTGCATGCTTTCATGACTGTAATTTTTCCTTTGTTCAATATGACACTTAAGGGTAACTGAGACATTATCTTGATATCTAATGCGCATCTGTGTATCAAATTTGTTCTTACCTCACTGTGGGCATAGGTGGCAAGGAAAGTGCTAGGATCCCCACCCCAAAGTCTTTTCCCAGGTATACCAGATCTGATCCCCAGAACCCGTAGCGTCTATTGATGCCAGTCAAGGACTTCCCTTGAAGTGTAGCTGCATGGGGTGTAGCGATTTTTCTATAGCAAGGAAAGAGATAAAAGTGGGAGAGGGAGAAGTAACACCATGAAAGTTCACAGATGAAACATAATTTAGAGGAAAGACTGGTTTTGGATTAACAGGACACAGTGCAAATTAAATAATTCATTTTATTTGCCATAATTTAGATAAGAAGTTATTTGGTTGCCTTTGTGTTGTGGGAAATTTAAATAAAGCCTATTAAATATTTCTAAATTTTCGTGTATAGCTATATATATTAGCATATGTAAATTGTATGCAGATCTGCATCCTATCAGGCTGAGCCCTGAATTGTTCCCATGGGTAGAATGAACAATCCTTTGGGAAATGTAGGATGCAGGGAGCAGGGAAGCTTGTGCAATCAGAGCCAAGCCTCCATATTGTGCAGCTGCAAGGAAAACAATCGGTACCGGCACCAGTGGGGACATTGTCTTAAACATTCTGGCTGAGTGAGATGCAGGCATGAAACTGGTCCTGGTCCTGCCAGCAAGGAAAGGGATCGTGCATTATCTCTGTAAAGAAACACAGTGCAGAGAAATGTATGCACAGCGTCACTTCCCATCCCTTAAATCTACCTCAATGGATTCAGGAATCAAAATTCCCTCTATTTAAAACACTGGGGCTGTGAGTGCTGTTTCCTATGTAGCCAAAGGGGCACTGCCCTTCAATGGGGGACTCAGCACAAAACACCAAGGTGTGCAGAAGAACAAACCCTTTAAGGGAAAAAAAGCCTCGAAACCCAAACTGAACCCAACGTTCAGTGGCCACCAAATGTTTTTGAGGACCTGGTTGACGGACTGAAACAGTGGAGAGGAAGACTCCGCACTGCTCGTGTTGTTGGAGGCCTCGTTTGCACCTCGCTTTTTATGGGTTTCACCCTTCCGTCCTATCGGAATGAATGAGACCTCAGCACTAAACTAGACTTTGCTATCTTTTGCTTTGTCCAGTTTGCATCCTGTATCTTGCTATTATTAATATCCGTCACTACACCAAACATCTTTTAACTTTCCAAAGGGATGACAGCCTGAAAAAATTATACATGTAGAAGGTATATTCATGCATATTTTTTGTAGTAGGCTTCCCAGAGAAATTCACCTGGTGCTTTCATGGCTTTCACTCCTGCACCAGGTGAAAACCATCCTCTTCTCCATTTTAGCAGCTGATTTTTTTTAAAAAATGATTCTATTAACTGTATATATTTTATGATTCATTAATTGTTGCCCCTTACTTACCTTAATGTATTGTAAAGACCATTGTTAGACTATTGTTACATCTTTATCTGGTTGGTTTTTATTGATATTATTGATTCTAGTTTTGTAATATTTTAATTTTTAATTTAATTTTAATTTCAATTGTTGTGTGCTCCTTAGATAGTCCCTAAAATAAAATAAATAATAAATAAAATAGTAAACTGGATTTTGATGAATGGCTGCACAATCATATAACTTATTTCAGCAAAACATGTACATAGTGGTGTATACCTTGCCGGACAATAAACCTTTCAATAATGGTCATTATTGTCATCTGACTTTGCTTGCCTCTTGTTCCTCAGTCCCAGGATCTGTGAAGAAATTAACACTTAGTGATAGAAGCACTGAATCACTACATGTTACCTGGTCTAAAGCTGATGGTGATGTTGATCAATATGAGATTCAACTTCTCTTCAATGACATGAAGGTTTTCCCACCCAGTCAGCTTGAAAACACATTTGAAAATTTCCAGTTTACATCTCTCACTCCAGGACGCCTTTACAAAATTCTTGTCGTGACCAGAAGTGGAGAAGCACAACGTACTGCTTTCATAGAAGGACTGACAGGTTAGGAAAATATTTATATAGAATAGGCTTTAGGGCTTTCCTGTGCTGGCAGATATAATATGGGCTTTCCTTGTAATGTTTCACAGTTTTGAAAGATTGTACTATGGTCCGAGAGATGGGTGTGCCTGAGTATCGTGGCTTCCATTGCATCCATGGACTGTCCTGCACATGACTGTGGCATGTCCCTGTCATTAAATGAAAGTTTTCCTCAATCATATGTAAAGCAGGGATTGTGCGATTCAACGTCCAGAAAGGGCGTGTAAGGAGCAGTTTGGCCCATTATTTTTGTGTTCTTTATTTTTAGACCTCTTCTGAAATCTGTCTTTTTAGCCCATTATTTCTTAGCAGTCTGTATTCTTCAGTGGGCATTTATAGCTCCCAGAATGTTAATTCCAAGTCTCTCATCTCCTGAGTCTGGCTATACCTGAATCCTGGAACAGGATTTCAGAAGCTGAGAGGTTTGGGCTTCCATGCTCATTCCACATCCAGAAATGCAGTTGGCCTGCCTATTCAGGATGAATCCAGATTCCTTGCATTCTGTCTTTATGCTGCCCTGTCCATCTCCTTTTTGTGGATTCATTCATGGCAAGGTACCTTCAACTTTCCATCAAACTATCTGTGTCATCCATGCTTTCTGCTATAATGGAGCCCTTACTCTATACAGGTAGGTCTCAGTGTGTGTTCAAATAAAGTGGTATTTGATATAGTGCAAATTATACAATGATTCTAGGTCACCATTATGTCACTTGCAGAATTCAGAATTCAGCTACCATTCGGGTTTTAGACAATGCTGTTTGAGAAGGCAAGCACATGACAGCAGAGCCTGGTTGTGGCAGCAGAGGGGACCTCCGACAAGCCCATCCCTGCAGGCATCCCCACCTGGAGTATGCAGACTGAGAAGGGGGCAGGCCCAGTGGGGGAAGGGGCTGAGTGGTAGATGAGGCCAGGTATCTGTGTACTGTGAGTGTTCCTTAGGAAGGACAGGTTCCTGAACATCCACCAGAGGGAGCTACTAAGCTTGAAGTCCCAGCAGAGTTTACAATTTTTCATTGCCTATTTCCATGGAGCTGGAATCAATTGCCATATTTTACATAACGTTATAACTTTGAATAGTGCAAGTTCAAATAGTGCAACCACTTCATGGAATTCATTATCTGCACTAATCGAGACCTACCTGTCCATACAAAATAACAAGCCAGACGCTTCCTATATATTGTCATCCAGCCTCCCCCAGTCTGGTAACTTTCAAATGTTTCAGACTCCAAGGCCTATCATCACTCACTGCTGGCTGGGACTGATAGAAGTTGTAGTCCAAGAGCCATCTGGAGAGAACCAATCTGGGAAAGATTTTTGAAGTGTCAAACCTTTCTGGCTTCCATACTTTTCCTTGCTACAGCTTTCAAAACGGATGTCACACAATGACTACTGACCTCCTTGACCATTCTTGCTGACATTTTTCCCTTCGTAGTTCCCAGTGCTGTTAAGAGCATTCATATTTCACCCAGTGGAATGACCAACAGCTTGAAAGTGAATTGGACCCCTGGAGGAGGAGATGTTGATTCTTATACCGTCACGATATTCCATCAGAACCAACCCCTCGACACCCAGACTGTTTCCAAACATGTGTATGAGTACACATTTAACAAACTGATCGCAGGAGAGCAGTACAAGGTTGTTGTCCAGACAAAGAGTGGCTCCTTGTACAACAATTCAACAGCCTCTGGAAGAACAAGTAAGTTTTCCCTGAAACACAGAGAACAGAATAGTTGCGAAACCCATTGTATCCTTCTGCTGATAAGCATTCCAGAATGGAAAGGATGCAGAAGATTTAAGTGTATTGTAATGTGGTACACACACAATAGGCTATGTTTTTCATCTGTTTTTGTATGTATCTAATCGCAGGGCTCACACTATGTTTTTACTCTAGAGTAAATGCAGGAGGGATGATCCAGAACAGGAGCATCGCCGTTGCATGTTATATTACTAGAAGTGATGTATTAAACCAAATGAATAATAAATTTAGCAATATAAATTGAAGCTTACCCTTCTAATAACATTTCTCTTAAGTTAAAGAGAAAATGTTCTGTGCCTTTAAGAACTTCAGAAGGGTACCTCCATTGACTTTATTCAGGTATAAATGCATTTACACTGAATTGCATAGTTAACTAAGTAGCTTTGTATAGTAAAACAGTAATCAGAATATACTGGAACCAAGTTTATCTACATCAGTCGTTTTTTTACAACAACTAGTTGAATTAAGATATGAAGGAAAATTAATGACCTCTTGGACAGAACAAAAAAGAGTACGGATGCACTCCACCCATTCCACCCCATCCTGGTAAAGGTCACCATAACGATAAATACACAGGTGGAAAGTAGAAGAAAAAAGGAAGGCCAAAATAACTCCTTTTTCATCCCATTTTGGGAGGATGGAACATGTCACAGAGGGATTTCAACAAGAGATCCATTGAATGGGATTGATTTGTCAGAGGTTCTGCAGTGCCCGTGTGTGTTCGCAACTAATCAGTTAATTCTCAAGATGCATGACGAGATGCAGAACACAAGTCTCACCTTTTCACTGTTCCCAGTTCCAGCTTCTGTTCAGGAACTGCACGCTGACAATGAGTACAGCAGCCATACACTGATCATAACCTGGCACAGCGCCGCTGGTGTGGCTGAACGATATGACATCCTCCTCTTGACTGAGCAAGGCATCCTTCTAAGGAATCAATCAGAACCAGCTACTTCTAAACAGCACAAATTTGAAGATTTAATACCAGGCAAGAAATATAAAATACAAATGTTGACACTCAGTGGTGGCCTTTTCAGCAGCCGAGCAGAAACTGAAGGCCAAACAGGTAATTCCAACATTTTTATTAAGGAATAGCTGCAGCAATAAATGTGGAATATATGAGAAGGCAGGCTCAGTTTTTAATTAAATACGGTGTGTAGCATGAATATTCATGTTGTGATTTTATGGATGAGTATTATTATTTTTAACTAAGTTTCTAGTTAAGCCAGCATAATATATTTAAAACACGTCAACTCTTCTGCCATTATTTTGACTATATCATTCTTCCCATGAGCCTTTCTCAGACTTACAAGACCGGCCTATGGTACTATGGATATCTGCAAAAAGTGTTGTCCCAGTTCAGTCAAAATATTTAAATTAATGAGAAGTTAGAACAGAAGATGGAGACAAGTAATTGTGAGAATATTTCTAGATTTGGGCTGCTACCACAGGTGATGCTTAAATCAGCATTTATTTTCCTCACACAGGCAGCTTAAGTACTGTATATATAAGTCACACTGGTGGAACAAAGCTTTGCAAATGAGTTTTTATCTGTTTTGCTTAAACTGTTCTTTATCCCAAGTATTATCCCAAGTTAAAACTATTCTTAGTGTTGGTTCTTACTCACATGTAACACTAAGCCAAGTGGGTTATTTTGGGGGGTTATGTTTAACAGTTTTCTAGCCCTCACTGCCCGTGCTTCTATGATCCCTGGCTTGCATATTCAAACTGATCAGCTCCAGGGAAAACAAAACCGCACAATTTAATGAAGCCACAGTGGCCTGGCATGACGTGCACACTGACCCATTGTCATCTAAGGACTAAGACTGGTTTGAACAAACATATGTCCGAACTGGGGAAACAACACATTATTTTAATTGTGCAAATACCATCTTAATTAAAAGGCATACTGCCATTAACTGGGTGTTCTTTCAGTGTTTATAAAAAGCCTTGATTTTAGTTCAAATAAAGGCAAGATGAATATTACATAGATAAGTATAAACTAATAAGTTCATTTGAGTCTAAGAATATGCCCTGGATTATGTGTCTTTGTGTTTAGTGATTACAAACAGTAAATGTGAAAAGAGTGGTATTTATTCTAGGTTACTCATTATAGAGTGAAAGAGCATAGGAACCTGTTTCTGAGGCTATGAAATTTTGCTGTCCATTTTGTACTGTTTGCCAGACTTCCAAGAATATAAGCTCTCATCTTATTTCAGCTCCAGCAGCTGTCACAAATCTGAAGGTAACAGAAAGAACCACTGGGCGCCTGTCATTTAGCTGGACTGCTTCTCAGGGAGAGCTGGACAAATACGATATCTTTCTTTACAATCCAGACAAGTCTCTTCAGGACAGAATTTCAGGGGGGAAGAATTTCCAACAATATTCTTTCCAGAACTTGGTGCAGGGCAGGTTGTACAAAATGGTGATTGTTACCCACAGTGGCAAGCTTACTAATGAATCATCCATCTCTGGGAGAACAGGTAGGAGAATCTAATAGGCTAATCCATCAATAGTGAGCTATGCTTTAAAAACATCAATGGGCTAGTTTAATTGTGAAGAGCTAGTATTTGTAGATTGCTAATACCTTTAATCCAGACTGGTTATCTCTGTATGATTCTTGGGCACTGCCTCTGCTCGGACATTGTGTTAAACTATGATTTACCAAGATGGGAATGAGCCTAGCTTCTCCATAGAATTATGCAGTTCTTTTCACTTTTCCTTCTTCTGTGCAGCTAGGAGGAGGAATTTAGCAGGTTTTGCCCCTGGTTTTTATTAACCTCAACCTTGCTTGGTGGTACAAATGAGGACCTGTGATTAATCTTAACTATGGTCTGATGTCGCTGGCATCATAAACCATGGTTAGAAATTGGCTTGTTCAAAACTAATCATAGTTATGACGCAACAAGCTAGAGTTAATCAAAAGCAAAAGTGAACACTTCTAACCTCATCCTTGCAGCCATATCAGAAGAGGAAAGAAAAAGAGGAGCACATGACCCAAAGGAAGGCTAAGCCCGCTGTTCAGGAAACTGCTTCTTTTAAAATCAATTTTCAACTAAGGATTGAATCTGAAGGAATATGAAGAGTTTTTTATTTTTTTCCAAAATTAGAGACATTTCTTTCCTGTAATTTTGAGAAAATACTTTCCCATGGGTTTCATCAACGTTCATACTGACTAGGGCTTAGTATCATGAAAAGGAAGACATTTTTTTAGCTTTCCCAAAACTGGTTGTACTTCAGTCTTTAATATCTGAGAAAGTTTTTAAAAATCTGTAGGATAAAGGAAGATATAACAATCAAGAAGATACAATAATCGGAGCCATAGTGCAAACATAGATTGTAAAAATATCACTGCCCCTCAAGAACTCAAAGATTGACAAGCCAAACCTGAGCTTGCATGGACTTCCCACTCCCTTCCATTGAAGCAAATGTTTCAGTTCCTTCTCATATAGTAGAATGTGAAAGCCTCTGTGTTTTTGGTATTGCTGGACCACAGTGAGGACAAGCTAAATCTGATGCCATTCATGAAATTTCACAACGTTATTAATGCTTTTAAAAGTAAACCCTAAGTGTGCCCCCATCTCCAATGCAGATTAGGACCCTAGTGTGGAGGCACTGAGGAACTTTAATACTTTGTCTTCTACTGTAGCCAAGATCAAGCCCTTGTGATTTCTGTTTGCATTTGAAGATGAAAGCGCCCATTACCATTCAGTTAAATGGAAACTTCTCCCCTCTCTCAATGTAACTAGGAAGCATAGGGCCACAGGGACCCCAGTCCAGATTGAGAACTAAGTAGGGGCAAAGGATTAAAAAACCCCGGCTGTGTGTCCCTAGTGCGCACCCACATTTTACTTGCAAAAAAACATTTACACAATTATTAATTGCAAGTCTGGCCTGTCTATTTCGGCCATTAGCAGTTAAGGTTATTGTCTCTGTCTTAAAGCTGCCCTACCTTAACACAGTATGAAGGTTCTCAACACTAAAATGATGACTAAATGTTGCGGAGACAAAGGAAGAAGGAAATTAGGGGTAGGTGGCCATATTCACTGAAGATTTTTTCTGTAACAAATTCTTACATGAATGCAATAAAATTTGTTTGTATGCAATTTAGAGATGGAACTTGCCAGTAAAGAATGAATGTGGGTATGAAATTGGGTTTATAATTTTCACTGTCAGAACTGCATGTTTAAAACATTCATTATCACATTCATTCATTAGAAAACTTAGGAGATAGTGTTTTGTTCTTTGCCGGTTTCTGTTTTGCCGTCATACAGTTATCGTAATTGATCCTCTTCTTCCCCAGCTGTAACAAATTATCTAGGATGCTTGATGACCCTTCACTGTTTCTTTTCTAGTTCCAGCTCCAGTTAGCAATCTCAAAGGATCTAATAAGAACATGACAGAGAGTCTGTGGTTCACCTGGAACCCCGCCTCAGGAGACGTTGATCATTACGAACTGCATCTTTACAACCCAAATGGCACCCAGAAGGAAGCACAGCGTGGGAAGGACTTGACAGAGTGGAATTTCCAGGGCTTAGTCCCTGGTAGAAAATATACCCTTGTTGTTGTTACCTATAGTGGTGAGCTGACCAATACAGCAAACACTGAGGCAAGAACAGGTAGTTCTTTCCTTCATATACTGTCACCATATTTCAAGTCACTGCCTTTGCTGCTTGGTTCTGTTATGTTGTGCAAGCTTTGAAAATGAGTGCTTTGCAGCATGTTCTTAACCATATTTACTCAGAAGGATGTCCTGTTGTGTTCAGTGGTGCTTGTTCCCAAGTCTACTCAGAAGTAGTTTCCACTAAATTCGACGGGTTTTTAAGCTACAATTCTACACAATATCAGCAAAGACACTGGAATTATTGTGCAGTATGAAATTCAGCATGCTGAGAACCTGAGCTTTGAAAAAGCAATAGTTCATGGGTATGGCTAAAAGTACCTTCTGAAATCTTTGAACTTTGGGCCAAACCAGATTCTGACTGAATATTCCAGAAACTTTTCTTAACACCTGATACATGTGTGTGTGTGGGGGGGGGGTGTGCCAGGTGGGGGCTACGGAACAGAGTGAGGTCCTGACCAAAACGTTTTTTTTTTTTTTTCAGAAGACTGTCTTAAATGTGTTATGTATGCAGCTGTAATGTGACTATTTTTCAACTTGCTGCTTTTTCTCCAGTGCCAATCCCTCCAAATACCGTATCCTTTGCTGATGTCACAAACACCTCCTTGTCCATCACGTGGCTGGGTCCTCCAGACTGGACAGACTATGATGACTTTGAGCTGCAGTGGACTCCAAGAGACATCCTCACAGTTTTCAATCCTTACAGCAGTGGCAAATCAAAAGGTCGCATTGTATATGGCCTCCACCCAGGGAGACTCTACCACTTCAGTGTCAGGAGTGTTAGTGGCATCATGCGGAAGACTTACAGTAAATCACTTTCTGGAACTGTGCGGACAAGTAAGACCCAGTAGACTTTAATGGACCTAGATCGGGTCGTTGTTGGAAAAGTTTGGAAAATGTATTAAGCAAGACTACTTGAGCCTACAACACAGATTCATGCATGGTTGCAAAGAAGATTTATGTCTTCCCTGCTTCACACTTCTGAGCTTTACCTGATTAGCCTCTTTGATCAAGGGATGCATTGCAACAGTATTCATGAACAATAGTAGAATTGCCTGACCCATCTCTTTATTTGTTCATTCATTCAAATGGTTACTAGAGCTACAGCACTTTCACAATTTCAATCAAATCACATGCACACTTACTTGGGAAGTTTTTTCTAAGTGAAGATACACAGGATTGCACTGCAGTCTTGACTTGCACTGCAGATGACAATCGTTTTACATTTTTAACCAACCTTTTCTTCCATCGAAATGGTGGTATCATAGGTGGGATTCCCAGGCATCCCCCAGTCCATTCATTGAGAAGACCAGAACTGCTTAGCTCCAGCAAGGTCACTGTATCCATGCTCCTTCAAAGTATGCCTTGGGGCACATCTCTACAGAGCTCTAGGGAGGATATACGGGTTCTTTACATAAGATATTTATTATATGCTTTGGATTCCACACCCATAGTAGTTTGCAGATGTTTTACGTGATGTTATCATCCTCCCATGCTTTACAAGCTTTTCCATGGGGTTTTTTTAAGTAATAAAAGCATTGTATTATCTGGAAATGGTGGCATGAAATGGAATGAGAAACTGATGTATTTTCACAGTTCCACTATACCACCTTCTGGTTGTGTAATGAAGCATCTAGAAAGCAGAGAACAAAAAATAAAACAGAAGAGAACACTTGTAAAGGAGCTGATCTTAATCCCACGGAGTAGCTGCAAACCGAAGCCTCAGTACAGTGGGGAGTTAAAAGCTTCATATAGAGAAGCCCCAGTGGGATAAACTCATGTATGGACCCCCAACTTCTTTGTAGGAAGGATGTTATATGAACACTACACATAAATGGACTGTGTGAGCTGAGGCAATTGCCTGTCTCTCAGCCTAATCATTGTTAAATAGCAATTCACTTTTAAAGGACTGCTCTGGGGGTAAATAAAGCAAATATTACAAAGCAGTTTGCAGATTTTTACAACTGCTGCATAAATGATACATAGGAACATATATAGTGTATAGACAATTTTGCAAAGTCATAAGTTAAGTTCAAGAGAACATAAACATTACCTTTGCCATCTAATTAGTTAGAAAGTCAAGAATAAGTACATTTCTAATCTTAATGGTAATGTTCTTTCCTATTTTAAATTCAACTTTAGTACTCAGTGACTCAGTCTTGTGGTATAAAGTAAGCACAAAATATTTAAAGCACATTTCTTAATTCTACTTTTGCATTCCTTCAAAGGACCAGACAAGATTCAAAGTCTACACTGTCGACCACAGAATTCTACTTCCATTGCATGTTCCTGGGTCCCTCCTGACTCTGACTTTGATGGATATAGCATTGAATGCAAGAAAATGGATACTGAAGAGATTGGATTTTCCAGAAGAATAGACAGATATATATCTGTGTTTAACATCATGATGCTTGTGCCCCACACAAGATATTTGGTGTCCATCAAAGTACAATCAGCTGACATGACCAGCGAGGTGGTAGAAGAGAGCACTATCACTATGATCGATCGTGAGTCTTTTCTGTTTGTATGTGCGGATCGGGGAGAGGAGTGGGAAAGCTTCTAGTGTGTGATGCGAGACTTTGAAATGAATGTCATTTGCCCCAGCTATGGCACATCAATTGTGCTGCATTCAGAGCATGTTGGAATGGTTTGTGCTTGTTTCGAAGCACTGATTATGTTTTTAGTTGCTAAAACAAGCTTTTTTGACTCATTCTTTGAGAATAATGGATAGGTTTTATGTTCTAACATAGCAACAAAATGAAATTATCCATTGGACTTCCACTAGTGCATGGTACATTTCACCATCTTTGAGTGACGTGTGTGTGTGTGTGTGTGTGTGTGTGTGTGTGTTCTCTTGCCCCTTTTATTGTCTTTCTGCAGTCCTCTGAACAAGACTGCTGAAGGCAGCTTCCTTCCATCAGCCTGAAGATCTAACTTTCCTTGAGCCTCTGTCACTTTTTCTCTTCGTTATTTTCTGTAACTGGGGATTAAGCAGAATCATGGTTTTTCTGATTCTGCCTTAGTACATTTATTTCTTCTTTGGGACAACAAATAGAAAAAAATGGAAACTGATTGCCATTTGTTTACATTGCAGCAAAAACTCTTATTGCACAGTAAAAATAACATTCTTACTGTGACTGGAGCTTTTGTGGATTGAGTCCACTACATCAGATATATGAAGTGAGATTTTCCTTCTCTGCTGAAGCAAACACTGACAACTGAGTGTAATGCTTCATGCATTTGATAAAATTGAGTCTGGTCCATGAAAGTTTGTGCCATAAGAAACGTGTCCTTGAGCTGCTACAAGACTTAGTTGCATTTATCAGTTTAGCTACTTACCAGTGGCCTTGGGAGAGTTATTACATCTTACAACAGCCTTGCAGCATTTGGGGGGATAAAAATGGGAGAGCATTATGTGCTAGAGATTGTGAAGAAATTATCTGATTTCACCCTCTCAGATTGCTATACGTACCTAAGCCAAGCTGTCCTCTGAAGTTATCATTTCTCTGAATTTTGCACTGGAATTCTTCTGTCAAAAATGTGGACATCAGGGACAATTATGTTCAAAAATGCAAACATTTGTAATATGTGTATATTAAGTAAAATACATGCAAATGTGCATATATTACAAGAATTATAGGCAGTCCCTGAGTTACAAACATCCAAAGTACAAACAACTCATATTTATGAATGAACTGCCATAAAGCCTATAAATTACTGTGGAAAATCATTATCACTGTAGAGAGAGAGAAAGCAAAAGGGAAGAGAGGGAGGGTCTCCAAAGCATCACCGCCAACTACACAGAGAGAGGAACCAAAAGGAGAGAGAGAACATGTGTGCATAGCACACCTTCCTGCCCTGACCATCTAGAGAGGGAAATCTCTCTGGCATTTCCTTGCTACAAAGAGGAGGCACTGGTGAATTGTGTGTGTGGGGGGGGGGGGTGTAGAGATATTCACAGTTTTTCCACTTTCATGGGGGCCCTGCCCTCCTAACCCCCAGAAGGTGAAGGGATGACTATATGTCATCTAACTTACATACAAATTCAACTTAAAGAAGTTTTTCCATTTTCTTAGCAACAGAACCTCTTTATAACCCAGGAACTGTCTGTATAGACTGTATCAACATGACCAAAAATCCCTTCCCAAGTTAAAATTCATCATGGGTAAATATTTGAGCTAGGAATGCTTGAGGACTCCATTAAATCTACATTTAGAAGCAAGCCAAGTTGATCTACACTTTCTGGAATAATTGCCGATAAGATCCCAATTATCCTTGAGATTTTGCACTCTTCTGATTTTTGCAGTGCAGCTATCAGCTAAAAAAAAATCACCAAAATGTGTATTTTGAGAGAAATAGAGATATTCTGGTAGGAAAATACATTCAAAAATATGTATTTAAAGGCGTATTTAGATAAATTTTTCATGTGGTTGTTAAAATAAGACTACAGACTAATGAGAAAATGGGTCAGAACATATGCAGCAAGTACTTAGGAGTGAGCATACAGAGAACTGTCACTGTACAGAAATAGATTGAAGAGCTACCCTATTTTGACCTATCTGATATATTGAGGAAAATATAGGCAATGACTTGTTGTTCTCCTTTAGGCCCTCCACCACCACCTGCACATATCCGAGTGAACAAGAAGGATGTGATCATTACCAAATCTTCCATCCATTTCACTTTCAATTGCAGCTGGTTCAGTGATACCAACGGTGCTGTGAAATACTTTACTGTGGTTGTGCGGGAAGCTGACGGTAAGTTTTCAAGGTAGCCTGTATTAATGCTTTGGCCATTATCCCCTTACAATTGACTTATCATTGTAAAATTCCTTCATGGCTTCCTGGGTGACTGCAATTTATCTGTGGATAAAGCACATTAATTCAAATAACAAAGATTCAGTAGTCAATCTGGAAGCCTAGCTTTTGGTCCCTAATAGGCACCTCATGACTTTCTTCCAGCGTCAGGTTAAGACTTTCCTATTTAACAGGCATTTTAGTGGCTGAATTTGTTTTAACATTAGCATTATTCCTGTGTGCCTTGTTGTGATTTTTTCATTTGATTGCCTGTTCTAATGGCTTTTATCCTTTTAATTGTTGTTTTTAATTGTTCTTTTTTCTGTTTTTATTTATTTGTCATGTTTTATTGTTTTTCTCATTGTTTTTATTCTAAGCCATCCAGAGAGTCTTTTGGGCTATGGGGCAGCATAGAAATATAACAAACAAACAAACAAACAAACTCTTAGTTCCATAAATGCACCATATTTAATGTCCATTTACTTTCTTTCTTCCTTCTTTGTTTAAACTTTCCAGGCAGTGAAGGACTGAAGCCAGAACAACATCACCCTTTACCTTCTTACTTGGAATACAAAAACAACAAATCTATCCAAATCTATCAAACAGATTATTTTGCAAGTAAATGCACTGAAAGCCCTGACAGCTTTTCAAAGAGCTTTGATATTAAGCTTGGTGGAGAGATGGAAAATCTGGGAGGAAAGTGTGACCCAAATCAGCAAAAATATTGTGATGGACCATTAAGACCCAGCACTGCCTATAGGTCAGATTTATTGTGGTAATCATGCCACAAAAATGTGGCATGCTATTTGGAACTATATTTTCTGGAAGCACTTGAACTATGGTAGATTAATAGCCTCCACTGCATGATAATATCTATGTTTTACTATACCATCTATAATAACTTTGCCTTGCTCTGTCTCATAGATAATGTCAAATAGTTCCTTCACCCACATCATGAACACTGCAAGTTATTATACACAGAACTCCATAAAATGAGAAGTTCTCTATTACCTTCATATAGATGAGTGAACTTTCCAATTCCTCACTGAAAAAAACCTTAGATTCCTAAACCTCATTTTCAGTACAAGAGGGTATTCAACAGCAAAAACCAGCCTACACAAAATGGATACTTCTGAGATAGGGGACAAAATATACTAGACCAGGGATCGGTGGAAGGTAGATGAGAAAAGACATTTAGATGATTTGCAGTAGTTCAGTAAGAACTGCTGACTCCCAAAATTTTAACAGAAGCAATGACAAAAAGGCTCACCCATCCTGGAAATTAGTTTGCTGAAAAAAAGGAAAGAAAGTCAGGAAAGGATTTATTTGGGAAAGCAAAGAGATCACCTACATTCCTGAAAATAAAAATTTGGGCAATGCACATGCACAGAAACACCTTGTTTCTTAATTAGAGGATCCTTCACCTGACACCATTTAGCCTCTGGCTATCCTTATTGACTCTTGAGGTTCCAGTAAACAAAGGGCAGGGGACGGAATCCTTACCCGAGACTGTTTTGTTGCTCCAAAACTCCTAAGCCAGTGTTTTTCCCCTTCCCTTCCCTGGCTTCCTCTCTGTCTGAAAGGAAATCTCAGCCCTGGATGAGTCCCAGGCACGCGACCCTCGCAACCACTACAATGAGATTTTAATGAATAAACTCTACTGTATTGTGTGATCCCTCCCAGTCTACTGGCCCAACCTCTCCCTGAAAATCTATCATTTCTCCTTCACAAAGAATGCATCTTTGTCAAAGAATCATCTTGTGTGAAGTGACAATTAGAACCCAGTAATAGATTATTAGAAAAGGTACTTGTAATGCTTCTTTAGGATTTGAGCCTTTACTGTCCTGTTTTAACCCACTGCCCCATACTAGTTTTTTCTGTTAAAACTTCAGGCTAGAGAAGTGGTGTGCTTCCAGATAAGGTTTTTATTGTGCAGTCAACGTGTCTCATTCACAGAATTTTATGGGAAATCTAGATGAGGACTTCTTCCATTTAGAACCTTCTTGTGCTTTCTCACTTCTACCTCTTTTCTCACCAGGAAAAAAGATCTGATAAAGAAAAAAGGTGGAAAGTTGCCTTTTAAATGTTTACACTATTAACTCGTAGTCTGGATGCCAGGCCAAGACAGTGCAAGTTTGATAGTTCTGGTCACAGTCTAATATGCAAATGGACACTATTTTCTTTTGTGACTTCTGATGGAGGATGGGTACCAAACTTTGGGCTTCTAGCCAACACTACTCATCAATATGGGCCTGCTGAAGAATCATGTATCTCCCAGCATTCAGGCTTTCTGTGCCTATAAATAAGCACATATGATGAATGTACCAACTCCTTTGCCAACACAATATTAACTGCGATGACGAATTTTAAAATCAAAGTGCCAGTTCTTTAGAAGATTGGCTTGTTTTTCTCAATACACTATATAACCAACTTGGACTAAGAATGGACATTGATGAAGCAAAAGAGGGAAAAACCAGTGCTGAGAAAAAGACTAACTAATCATACTTTGGTTCTTTCATCTCTTAACTGTGCTTGATTCTCAGCTCTGTATGTCCACCAGCATGATTTCTGCTCTCCTACAGGCTGTTGTAAAACTTTGGCAAAATGTGTTTGTTCTGGCTATGTTCAAAGCCCTTTTTGAGTTTGCTTCACATGAATATTGGGGAAAATGAACTTAAAACTATACACAGAATATGGCTTTGGAAATTCTAATTCTAATTTCTTTAAGAAATGCATTTGCTCCGATCAAGAGCATCTGTATGTGTGCGTGTATACACATATATCCAAAGATAATTTAATGTATAGTGTTAAAAAACCAGAAGCATTTCTGATGCTTGCATTCCTTTCTTTCATATCTTATCAAGGACCAAATTGCACATAATGCAAAAGATGCATTTTTGTATCTCCCAGTCTCTTTGCTAATTAAAAGCTAGCACTGGCTTATCTTGCACACATATAGACCTTAAAGCTGGTATCTGCTCCATTAGTAAGCAGGCAAGCAGTCATGAGATAGGCAGCATATTTTCCCTTTATCCCTTTCCCCCATACTTCTGCTCATCACAATCCTGGAGGTTGTTGTACTTTAAATTGGATGAAATGCAAATGGGGAGCCTAAAAATCCTCTTTGATCTAGTCTGGGCTCTCTGAAGCTGCTTTTAAGCAAACTTTAAGATAGTAGGATCCAGTCACCAATCCGCCATATATTTGTCTTGCATATTTTGACCAAAAGCAACATTGGAAGTGCGCCTTTGTTTTTGTGACACTCCAAAGCTGAAAGTAATGGAAATTAGAATTCTAAAAATAAAGCAAGCAAGTATGCCTGGTAGTAACAGGCTAGTAGCTAGCATCTACATCTTTTGTTAATTCGAATTTCCTTCAATATTTCACATAGTTCTACAATAACTTTGGTATTTCCATACATTTAGGGCTAATTATACTTCCCTGGAAGAACTAATGCAAATATATCTATTTAATTTTCCTTCTCAGGATCAGTATCCGAGCTTTCACACAACTTTCTAGAGAAGAACTGAAGGAACACCCCGAGCCCCTGTTCTCAGATACCTATTTCTCTTTGCCAATCACTACTGAGTCAGGTTAGTTTCCCATTCTTTGCTACGAGACACATGGGCAGCATCTGGAACACGCAGAAGACAGGAGGGTGGGGAGGCTTTTGTAGGACTCCTGCAGTGACTTGGCCCGGAGTATTTTCCACCGAATCCAACCTGGTAGAATGCGAATGCTGCTTTTATTTAATGAGAAGCTAACACATATGGTTCATGCTGTCCTCATTTGGAGGGTAAACTTTTGTACATAGATTATTGCTCTATGGCAAACAGTCTGTGAAGACTCTCTGGATAGCATCTGCTACTGTGAAGAATCAGTCCTCAGAAGAGCACTGCACAAAAACATACCATGTGGTTCAAAATTCAGCCCAGAATGGCAGAGATTCCTCCCTTTATCTGTTTTCAGTGCTTTGGTTCAACAACAAAATATGTTATTGAACCAAAGCACATTCATTGACTGATTATATTTATCCCAACTACCTTCTTTCCTTCACCTGCCTTTCTTTATAAATAAATTCAATGTTTCATTTCCCTCCTATATGCTCCAATAGGATGGAAATAACTATGCCATTTCAGACCAATTATGTGGATGAGTCAAAGGAGCAAGAGGATTGTGGATCCATGGCTGCCCCTTTCTTGCTCCTAAAATCCAACAGAGAGACTTTGCCAATTCCTGCCCTTTCCACTACTCTCATTCATCATCCGCTCCCACAGTGATCTAGAGGGCTGGGTGGTCCTCAATATGGTGGAGAAATTGGTACCTTCTGATGCCTCCAGCAGGAACAAAATCCAGACCCAGTTCTGTGTCGAAACCCCAATGATATTGAATCATTGTTGTCTAAGATCCAAAACCAAAATAGAATTTACTTGGCTAAAGCAGAATGGGTTGATTTAAACATTACTCAAGAGTGATTTTTTTCCTTCAAAATAGTTCCAGTCCACAGAAAAGTACTCTCAATTTGAGAGAAGTGGTTGCAACCGAAATATCAGGATATAACAGCTCTAAGCTATAAAATAAAGTTCAGAAATAATTAGAATATGAATCAGTGTTGGGTTCAACATGGATAGAGAGCACAACCACAGTGGGAATAAATATAAAAATATAATTTTATTTAAATTTACTAGTTTACCTTTAGCAGTAGAAGCAACATTTGGCAGAAAAAGATGGTTCATTTTATCTGATCAAAAAGATTTCCAAGAGTGGAAGCTAAATACTTTTTAAAAGAGGTTTTGGAATTCCAGATACAAGGTGCAGCAATGTTCACTTCAATTTATGATTGGTACATCTTTGATAAAACAGCACAGCAAGAATATATGAAAATCTGCTGGACTTATTTTTGTTTCAAAAAGCAGTAGAGAACAAGTTTCCTATATATCTTCAACAATTAAGATAGTCCCAGTGAACTGGAAGAAATTTAAAACACTTTGGAGCCAGTTGATCACTGTTAACGTAAGAATCTGTCCATCTAATTTTAAGGTGGAGTTTGTAAGTGCTGAAGTTTCTAAATGCTTTGCAGAGGACCTCAACATGGAGCAAGTTACAGTGAACTGGTCTCGATGTGACCAAGCAGCTGGACTCGCTCTAGCCAGGAATGAGCTGCAGTTGTGCAAAATCACTCCTACCCTGTGTACTTGGCACAACAAGGGCAGGGTCAGGAAGCTTCCCAAACCCGATCTTTAGGGGAAGTGTAACCGCATCCAGAATGCAGCATATTCCTGCTCCTGATTCATTTTTCCTGCTGACTAACAGCGCCTCTTTTTTTGTCTGGATTAAGGCTCACTAATTAGCCCATACACAGTTTATTGCTGTATTCAGACTCCAGTTCAAAAATTTTGTTCCTTCTTCAGCATCATATGAAAAAGAAAGGCAGAGCTAGGTGTTTTCCATAATGATATCTAAGACCAGACCCACAGATAACTTCCAGAAGTTTCGTGTAGATTTGAAATTGTATGAAGGACAGGAAATCTAATAGAACAGTCCCCAAGGAGTCAGGTAGAAGTCTCCCGGCATCACCCTTTCAGATCTGCCAGTGTAATAGGATGAGATCTCTGCAAAATGATGTTTACAGCCCACAACCTAGTCAGACTCCCCACAAGTATACCATGCTTAATGGTCCCAAAAGCTGCTGTGGGGTCCAGCTGAATCAAAATATGAAGTAATAGTGAAAGAAAGCACTTCTGAAAAATTGCAGAGTATCTGCTTAGGAGACTCAATGTTCAGCCCAAAGAACTATGGACAAAGTTATTGTGTGCTGCTTGTATGTTGCGACAAGTGCAAGTTCAGCGTAAAATGTGCATACATGAAGTTGATGCCACACATGCATGCAAAGAACTGAGAATGTGCACAAATTAACACAGTGAACAGAGGATTCTGTACATTTCTTCTGATTAACATGTGATATTACTAAGTAACCTTGCAGAGTGTCCGCTAGGAGATAATTTTAACCGGAATATGTGCACACTGACTTCCCTACTTGGGGATTATATATTGCCCATGCAGTAGATTAACTGAATATTAATTGGCCCATGTGCAAAACATCTCTGCTTGATTCAAATGGTCTATTTTCTCTCTCTGGACATTTATACATGGACATGAGTAAATACTTCCTATTAAATATATATAAAAACAACCTAGCAAGAGTAGGAGTGGTCATACCATCTTTTTCTAGCCTGAAAAATCTGAGTCCAGCTTACATATCTGATTTGTCTAATTGTTTCAGAGCCCTCATTTGGAGTTATAGAAGGAGTGAGCGCCGGTGTATTCCTAATCATTACACTGGTGGCTGTTACTGCATTGTTCGTCTGCAGACGAAAAGTAAAGTGAGTAGAAATTAATGTTTCTCCCTTTCCATTGCCAGAGGAAAGATGCAAATGTATATAGAGTAAAGCATAAATTTCAGTTTATGACTGAGTTACTAAGGTACAGCTTATGATCTATGCTCTAAATGTAGGAACTTCCTTTAGAGCTGCACTTCCTTATACTATCATACAATAGGTTCCAAGCTTTCTCTGCAGACAGATTTGCCATAATTTACTTAGTAGCATAGCTAAGAAGGAAGACTGCAGCTTTAATGCAGGTAACATGTTTAAAGCAGCAGCCCCTTGCAACAAAACGGGGCTGGTAGGAAAAACATTTCTGCTTGCTAATGTACCAGAAGTAATCCTTGTCACCATCTTCTATTTTAGCAGTGGCCATGAAAGGCCAACCGTGAGAGTGAGCTTACGCAAGGACAGGCCACTTTCCGTCCACTTGAACTTGGGACAAAAAGGGTAAGTTCCAAGAGTTTGTCTTGACTTCACAAAGACATTCATTTTGCCTGATCACTAACTGCATTTTTTTCTTTTGACCATTCTTCCTTTTTCTTTTCCAAATAACTTAAAGGAGCCGAAAAACTTCCAGGTAAGAACAAATTCATGTTATTGGCATCTAGATCTTTTCTACTGACTCCTTATTTCCTACTGTGTTTACAGGTGTTTCTTTTTCCCACTTTTTCCCATTTTAGCCCAATAAAGGTAAATCAGTTTGACATGCACTTCACTAAACTCCAGGCAGATTCCAACTACCTTTTGTCCAAGGAATATGAGGTAAGGACTGAATAGAGTGGTAAAGCTTTCTCTTTCCATGCATGCATCCACCCCCGCCCAGTCGCACCCTCTAAGTAGGCTAGTTGGGTAGGCCTGGATACAATCCACAAAATATATTCCCAGGATCGGTCAAATTATAGGGGCGGGTTCAGCAGGGATTGGTGTGTATGGAAAGGAGAAGCTGTATTTTGGGGGCTTATGCAGGAGGGGCATCAGACATATCTTGCCGTAGACGCCAGTGAGAGGTAGCACAAGAGTGCAAATATGGCACCAAGTGCTGGTTCCATCCTGGTGCACTTGCACCAAGGTTTTCAGCAGCTATCAGAAACGATCCATGTTTTGCCCTGCCTTGGCATATGACTTCCAAGGAGCATCACAACAGCTTCTGTACTTCATGGATGGTCCCCTCCCATCTCTCTCCACTCTGAAGCATATGTGCACTGCTCTTCCCTTTGAGTTGGTCATAGGGTGGTCTCTGAGCAGTGCAGCTCCTCCATCTCCCTGTGTACCTCACCTGCCTCCTTTTCAAGCAGCTCGATCCAACGAGGATAAGCACATTGCCAGCCTCCTCAGCCTTTTGAGCAACTCTCCAAGCAACAGCTTCTTTTTATTTAGCATGATGAGAGGTAGCTGTCTGTTGCGCTTATCGCTGACTAGCAGTCAATGTTGCCCTGAGTGGGAAGAGTCAAAGGCTGAACTATTTCATATTTGGCTTCTTTTCAGTCACATCTATTACCACGTGCCTTGGCTTGCTGATGTGCTGAAGTTATATATATGAGTAAAGTTTTACTGTTTTCATCCCGTTTTCTTTCCTTTGGTCTTTCACAGGATCTAAAGGATGTGGGCCGAAACCAATCATGTGACATAGCACTTCTGCCAGAGAACCGAGGAAAAAATCGATATAATAATATATTGCCCTGTAAGTTTTAACATTGGGCATGAGCCTTTGCACTTCATTTCTTCTTCCTATATCTCTCAGGCAAAGACAAGAGGGCAAGAAATGTGATATAGTCTCTTGTTTAATACCTTACCCTCCAACCAAGCACCACAACCAGCAAAGTCTTAGACCTTTGTATTCATAATGCAAGCCCTCTAATAAGAGAACTCGCTTCACATCGGAACTGCACTGACTAACAATGTTCATTTTGGTTAGGACAGGCTTCAGCTGTTAAAGCAGTTTTGCAGAATTGCCACTGTTGATGGTAGGCAGATGTAGCGATAAATCGCAACCTTTGCATGCATGGTTGGTTTTATGTGATCGGCCCCAGAAGATGAACAGCAGAGTTCTTCTTTAGAAGACCTGCAGAATCAGAAACAGAGCTTATTCTAATGTGTTTATAAATCACCCACCCAACATTACTGATTTGGTAGGCAGTAGCTTTTCATCAAGCAGAATAAATTTTAAAATGACTGAGAGTCTCATAGGTGTTTGAACCCAGCACAAGAGAAATTATGTATTTTCAAAAACTGTGTGCATTTTTTATTTGCACACTGCTGAAAACACTAGAGAGAGAAGAGGCCAAAACAGCCCCTACTTTTCCAGTATTACTCTAGAGTAAGAACAGGATTGTATCTGGGAATTAGGAGGGTTTTAATCCTCCCCTCCCATACCATACATCGTGTTCCTGATCTGCATTGGAGAGACACACCTGTAAACAGGGCTCTGATTTGCAATAGTAGGTTGAATCCCATGCTACCCCTGCTTAGAGCAGACCCTTTGCAATGAAAGGGTTAATAAGAAGTCAGGTGTTCGGTGTTGGAAGGGGGTTGCCCCATCCACACAATATCCTCTGCATTTTGCAGTTACTGCTGCTTACCAGAAATTCAGGTACCAGTATAGTGTATGTGATATGCATGAATTTTTAAAAAATATTTGGAGTTGTCAACATAATTCCAGTTTATACATTATAGTCCCTTATGTTTAACAAGTTAGATCCAGTTTTAGATCCAGGATTTCGGACTTCTCTCCCGAAACTGCTACACAACAGACCAAGGGAACCTGCAGAATGGGGTGACATATTGCGAAGGAGGAGAAAATTGGGCAGAAACAGCTTGCATGAGCAGAGCCCTTCCATCAATGGAGAGCCAATCTGGATCCATCTTGTGTCTAGAGGAAAGAGGCTATATAAATATAGCCATGTATTCTATGTAAAGCCAGATAAGCTGTTTCATACCTTGAAGCATTTCAGTACATCCATTTTAATAAAAAAAGTAACTGACAGCCAGTTAAGCAGTGGCTAGGATGTTGGACTGGGTTCTCCTTTCCACACAATCATGAAGTTCCCTGGGTGTCTCTGAGTCAGTCATGGACTTTCAGCCTAACCTACCTCACAGGGTTGTTGCTGTACAGACGAAAGGGAAAGAAGAAACTTGTAAGCCACCTTGAGTTCTTTGCAGGAAAAAGTAAGGTGTGATGTCAGTGTAATGTGTGATCATTGAGCTCTAGCGATAATATTCTTGCAATCCCTCCCTCAGATGACACAACAAGAGTGAAACTTTCAAATGTAGATGACGACCCGTGTTCCGACTATATCAATGCAAGCTACATCCCAGTAAGTGATTCTCTGTTTCCTTTTTTTTTTTTTCAGCCGTGTGTGTGTGTGCATATATATGCACTAGACAGAAATCCAAAGTCAGGTTTTATTATCTCTAAGCTAGCATCACCATCCCAGCCTGCCTCTAAGAGTAAGCAAAATTCTGAAGATGGTATTTTCACAACTGAGAATTGAAATTCAATTACCCCTTAAGGCCACTTACTCGGCTTACTGTAGTTTTAGTTAAGTGTCATTAACATCCAACAAGGACACATTTTCAAATGTTGGGTTATTTACAAGAAACTATACAAAATGACAGATTTTACTGTGCTATCTTCCATAAAGAATAGCTGAACTCTTTCCAAATCCATAGATAAGAGTAACAAAAAAAATTCTAACCCCCAAATAAATACCATATCCCTACCACTGCCTTCCAGCTTAAGATTTACTATTGTTGCTGTTGTCATCATGAATTCTTGCCTTTCATTTGTTGTCATCTTACTTGCTTCTGTAACTTGCCCTTCTTTCAAGGAGTTTGTGGTATATGTGTTAAAAGCCTTGTGCAAGAATGAATCTCATCACTGAAGGGGCATTAGAACCATTGTCTGGATCAGCCTTTCTGAACTTGGTGCTCTCCAGATGTTTTGAACTTAAGATGCCATCGGTCCCAGGCATCATGGCACATGGATAGGAATGCTGGGAGCTACCTTCAAAAACATCTGGTGGGCATCAGGCTAAGGAAGGCCAATCTAATGTGTCTGCACACAGGAGGAGCTCAAGTTGCCACTTAGACCGAGGCCCAAATCTTTAAAACTATTTAAAATGTGTTTAAAACTATTACCCAAAGCACACACTACTTTCCTCCCTTTTCTTCACTCACAGTTACTCATATCAGAATCGTGGAGGACCTTAACCCTTGTCACCCTTCTGTAGATCCAGCCTGAATAAGAGAGTATAAAATATATACTGCTAATTACTGTTTGCTTCAGTGCATCATATGAATTGTAGGTCCCAGGGGGTGAATCATAAAGGGACATGCCCTTATATCTCAAATTAGGGTCTTACCTGGATTTTGGCCACTGTGTTTAGAGGAAAGATGAGCAAGAAGATGTAGCTGGTAGCCATGTTTGAAGTAATGGGTATTTTGGCCCTGTGTGGGGGGCTGCTCTTGAGGGGCAAGGGATTGGCTGGTAGAAGGAGGGCCTAATTAGCATAGATGGCCTCTGGGGCTCTGTTCCATCCCTATGATTCAATACATCAACAGGTTCTCCCTCCCTTCTGTAGCCATTCTTTGGCTTCTAGATAGCCAGTCTTCCGCATTGTGTTCTCAACTCAGATATCCAGGAAAGTTGCCTGCAGTTACTATGGCACTACTTAAACTAATCATAGTCTTCTGAACTGGCAGGGCAATAATTTTCGCAGGGAATACATCGCAACTCAAGGACCTCTGCCTGGCACAAAGGATGATTTCTGGAAAATGGCATGGGAACAAAATGTTCACAATGTTGTCATGGTAACCCAATGCGTTGAGAAGGGTCGGGTAAGTATATAGTTTTCCTGCTTGTTAATTACTTCTTTAAAAAAAAATCATACTTGGGCTTAACTGGCCTAATGAATTCCACATGGTAGGGGGAGCTTTGTTTGTTTGTTTAAAAGAGAAATCCTTTGCAAGAAATCCAACTAGCTTTCCAGCTTGCAGCCCTTACTTGTTGTCCTCTAATAACAAGTTGGCAATGAAACCACATTTCAGATGAAAGGGAGGGTTGAGATCATTGCAAAGACCTTATTTCTACTATGTTCAATTCCACTTCTAAGTCACATCCATCATTCCGATGCCCCTGAGAAACTGTTTCCACAAGGTTCTGCATCCATGCAATGACTGGGCTCACACAAAGCAAGTGAGGTTAATAAACCAACTTTATTATCCACTCCTGTACATGCCGGCCGTGGGCTAGCTGATTTACCAAATTACGTTTCTCAGACTGGGTTGTCATCACACCCAAACTGATGAGAGTGTGTGGCTAGGGAGGTTGATAAACTACCCAGAGTGGATGGCCTGTTGTAGTGTTGCTCAGTGGTTTGTTAATCACCCCGGCTATCCACCCTCTGCATGTCTGGACATGATGACAACCCATGCCCAGTGAGGGTGATTATGGAAATCAGAAAGTATGCAGCCGACACACACAGAGGTGATTAATAAGCATACATGGATTGGATCTGTAAATTGCCTGAGTAGGGTTCCACTCACGGAAACAGCCACTTGTCAGACTGATGGATGGAATGGCATTCATTTATTCCTCCTGCTTTGCCCGAAAATCTGCTCTGGAGGACTGGAAGAAACTGCAGGGGGAAGATAGTGTCAGTGGAAGGTGCCTCTGCTCCCCCTTCCATGTGCAGCAGCTACTCTAAGATATCCAGTCTCAAAATAAAGTAGATATTGACTGGGTCCAGGCAGTATAATACTACGCACTCAAGGTTTGACTATGGGAAGGATGCAGTTTGTCAGTGGCTTGTTGTTGTCTGAACCCAGCTGAGACAACACACCATGGTGAAAAGTCCACCATTCACAACCCAACAATGAACCATGGATTCTCTTCATGTGCTGTTCACGGTAATGAGCCTTGGCTGGTTAGCAGAGGTGGGTTCAGACCACATGATAACTCATGTTTCCATAACAACCCACGTGTAATCCGTCCTCGATCCATGCTCACCCCTTGAGTGTAGGCGTTCATGTTGTCTGAACTGAATCATTCTGGATCCAAGCCATCATTTGCAGCATTTTGCACAAGCCTGAATTTTCCTATTTTAAGCTACCTCTAATCCTTGTTGACGTTAAGGTAGCATACAAGATTGGATTGGATATGCATATGATTGGAAATATATAAAATTGATTGAAATAAATTAAAACAATAAAACCACATCATCATGCTATAACCAAAGAAAGAAACGAACTTAATGCACATACCAGATCAACCAATTAAAACAAACAAACAAACAAAAGGGATTTTGGCTGGAGCCAAAAAATTTACAGTGGTGCCAGCAGTTACACTTTTGCATGGGGAGGACATCCCATTTTTAGGAGGTCCAAAAGAAAGGACTCCTTTCTTTGTTGCCACATAATTTTTCTTGGGGTACGTGGAGAAGTGCCTTCCTTGGTGATTTTAAACCACAAACCGGATGATATATAGAGAGGTACTCCTCTAGATATTTGGGTCCAAAGCTATTGAGAGATTTAAGCCCCCTCAGTTAGGCTTGGAAATGAGTAGGCAGGCCCTTCAACTCTCAAAACAAGAGTCTACCCAAACTGCCCTTAATCACATCCTGGAGAAACTGCAAGCCCCCCCACCACCTGCATTTTCCCAGGACAAAGAACTGGGTGACCTTGCTGCATCCCAACAGGATGACTCAAAAGGATGATTCCCCCGGATGTTGCCTCTTCGCAATAACCCATGGCTCACCTTCTTTAAAATATTTGATGCCCTGTAATGAATAGAAGCTTATTTATGGGCCAGAGCAGGATGGCAGAGCTCCCTCAGTAGGCCCTGCTGCCCTGCCCTTTTCCAAAAATGAGTGCTTCCACCCATTTCCAGTTGCTCCTAGAACTCCACATCTCCATTGTGTTACGCATAGCAGAGGGTCCTCGCTTGTGGAAAGAAATCACACAGCCACAACAATGAATGCAATTGCATTGTGTCAAGAAGGGTTCGGTCTGTGTTTTCAACACATCAGTTTGGCTGAGTGAGCTTATCTTTATAATCACACAAATCTTTGAGCTCTTCAGCTATGGCTTTGAACAGATTGCTTTGCTATTGTTCAATGTATTGTATAGTGAGGGAACCAATAGCTGTACTGAGCTTGTTGTGCCAGTTAAAGGCATCATTTCTGCAAAGGAGAGCTCTGCTTAAGGCAAACAACCAATTAAGACTGCCCTTAAACAAAGCTTCTTAATTGTTTATGTTCTGATATGATAGCACCTTTGTTCAAGTGCAATTTGCATCTTGATAGTATACTTCCAGAAAAGAACACTTCATTGTAAATGTTACCTTCCACTTGTGCTGTTATATAGAATTTGCTGAGTTCTCTGTTAGCCTTGTAAAGTTAGATATAAAGAGTTTATATTATTTTTTACTATGTAAGTTACCTTTGCAATGTAGGTACAAAAGTAAATACATTCTTGTGACATTAAAAGCAGGTTCTTCCCTCTTTTATAGGTAAAATGTGACCATTACTGGCCCTTTGACCAAGATTCCTTATATTATGGTGACTTAATTGTCCAAATGCTATCTGAGTCTGTGCTCCCAGAATGGACAATAAGAGAGTTTAAGGTTTGCAGTGTAAGTATATGTACCTATTTTAGCCCGCTTTCTAAAGAATACAGTCACAAAAATGCTGTCTTAATTTGATTGTTAAATGGTGAATCGGTTCCTTGTGGTAGAAATAATAAACTGAAGCTGCAATTCTGTACATATTTACTGAGGCGTAAACCACAGCGTATTCAATAGAACTTACTTCTGAGTAGGTAAGTATAGGATTGCTCTGTGAAAGCTGTTTTTCACATATAATCCAGTGGCATGAATTGGTGATCTAGTTCAAACATTACAGCATCAATCCCTGGGTTGTTTAACCCAGGAATTGCCAAGGGCAAGCCGTGTGAGTGACATATAAGCCACTTCCAGGTTAAATAAGTGAGGAATTGCTGCTGTAACATGCCAGCTGGATCTGGTATTTGTATAAGGAAAATGTAGGCAGATAGCTTGCTGCTGTGTTAGCACAGAAGAATCTAACATCCTACTTTCTCAGCTGCCAGATCTGACTTGTAAGTGGTGTGATATGGCTCGGAGCTGTGTTATCAACGTCCTTATACCTGCCTACCTGCTAGACACTTCTCAACATTCTTATGTTGTCTGGTGTGATTCAGAAATATCTGGACATCACAAAAGACAACGCAGCCCTGTCTTACCAGTGCAATGTAGCAAAGTGCACTCCATGCAGGGTATGGCATCTGTTTCCTGTGCCTGATTTCTCCTGTCTTCTATTCCACGTACCTTGCAGGAGGAGCAACTTGAGTCCTCCCGACTTATTCGTCAGTTCCATTATACTGTGTGGCCTGACCATGGTGTTCCAGAAACCACCCAGTCCCTCATCCAATTTGTGAGAACTGTACGAGATTACATCAATCGAACACCTCATGCTGGACCAACCATAGTACACTGCAGGTATAAGCAAAATTGGAGAGTCGGCTTAGAAAACTGTTTGCCTTTGATTTGTATTCCAGCTTCACTTAGGAGATACAGCAAATGTTCCCCAGCGATAGAATGTAGCTTCTGTAAAATCATTCTTCTAGTAATGGCATTGAGAAGTTATCCTGCTACTTTCTCCGTTAAAACACAAAGGCTTGAATAGTATAAAACTGAAGAGAAAGAAATGTACACAGGCAGTCCCCACATTATGAACGAGTTCCGTTCCTGAGGAAATGGAGAAAAATTGTCTTTAAGTCAAATTTGTATCTAGGTTGGATCATATATAGTTGACCCTCCACATTCTTGGGGATTAGAGACACAGGACTTGCATGAAATGGAAAAACCAGGAATATCTCTGACCCCAACCACCCATCCAAACTCACCTGTAAGGAAATGCCAGAGAGATTTCCTTCTCAGGATGGGTGGGCCAGGAAGGCTTTGGACACCCCCCTCTCTCTGCTTTTGCTTCCTCCCTCACTATGGTGATGATGATTTCCTGCAGTAATTTTTAAAAAATTAATAAGCTTTATGCCAATACAGGGACAACCTGTATGAACTATTGCTTAGTTTGACTTACCTGCACAGATTAATAAGGAGAGAAACTGTTTCAATTTTCCTTTTCAGTGCTGGAGTTGGTAGAACGGGCACATTCATTGCACTGGATCGAATTCTTCAGCAGTTGGATTCAAAGGATTCTGTGGATATCTATGGGGCAGTGCATGATCTGAGGCTTCACAGGCTTCACATGGTTCAGACAGAGGTAACCCTTAATTACATAATATCAATAGCAAAATGACTGGAGGCAGCTTGCTAAAAATCAAAAGGTTTAATTCTGATTGGTGTTTGAAATTCTGTGTAGGGATGGGTTGCTCTGCCAAGCTCCATCTATACCTTCATGGCGTTTGTTTCATCCCCTCTCTGTGTCAACTTATAGTTTTTGGTTTGAAAGGTCTGCATAAAAAAACATACGTACGTGGATTGTGGATTGTGCATTCCAGTTTGTCTGTATCCAGGGAATATAAACCAGGTACATTGACAGTAAAATGCTAAGCAAACAAAATGCCTCTCCCATGCCTGATTTAGAGCCTAGATTCTGACCCATCTCTTAGATCCTTGAAGGAATAGAGACGTGAATGATGTATTTCTGTGCTATCTTAGGAGGAATCACAATTGCAGCCCAGCCCAAAATGAACTATAATGCTAGCGACCCAAATGCTATGAATTTGCTGCTAGTTTTGGCAAGGCACCTGTACATGCTTTACATGGTAGCCTTGCTATTGTGCATTGTGGATGCCAGTGTTAAGTCCAGGAAAACATGAACCTTCTGCTAGTACAGAACCAGTAGAAAACAGGGGAAGCAAGAAGAAGAAAGACAAACAGGATGGGAAAGACTTTTGGGGAGGTAGGTAGGGTGGGGAGGTAAGGAGGACATATCATCAGAACTGTGAGGAAAGAGGTCAATGAGCTTAGTGCAGTAACCTCTTTCCTAAGATCCTCCAAGCATTGGGGAGTGTAAATTCTTCCTGCTTGCCAGCTGTTAGGAATTTCTCCCCCACAGCCACCACTGCCAGGCCAGATACAATGGCAGAGGGCCTATGCTGGCAATAACACAGAATCTAGGTTTCTGTTGAATTTATCAGCCAACAGCCATGTAACACTCCCTGTGAGTTGCTGCTACATCATATGAAGCTTGGTAAAGTCTGAAAGGGCTACAGTGCAGTTGCTTGAAGCATAATGTAAGATCAGACTAAAGAAAAGATGTATGGCTAAGAAGCCTCAGTCCATAGTGTGGTGAAGGGGCGGACGGGGGAGAAACACTTCCATGCAATCAAATTACTGTGTTGCAAAAGTGGCACCTCAGTCTCTAGACTCAAATTGCTGTGAAAAATAACTTCACCAGTAGGATGACAAAAGGTCAGATATTGTGCATGTCGTGTTAGTAACTGGATCACCGAATAGGATTATTTTTCCTTTCTAGTCTGAAAAGTGAACTAATTCAATTTAGATAGATTAATAATGCTATGGTGTCATCTAGTATAATGGGAGGTGATAGCCCGATAACAATTTGGCTTTGAGTTCGTTGATAGCATTGCAAATTTAACTTTAGATGTGTTTGAACTAGAAAGTTCATTTAAGAAGAACAGGAAGGCGAAAGAGGCCTCTGCAATCTTACTGCCTGGTTTAAGATTTGATGACTCACTTCTTCTGTTATAAAAGTCAAGTGACATTTCAAATCTACTTAGTATGGCCATGGGCTAAGTTGCATTGCTCAGTCATGTCACTCACTTCTGGTAAACCAATGCACTGCAAATGCAGGACAGTCCTAGCTCCCCATTTGTGGAGCAGGAGACCAGGATTCATAAGAAGCTGAGAAAATCTCCCCGTGCTCCACAGTCCAAAGCACTGTAGAACTTGGGTTCAGTGTCGGAACAGTCTGAACCATCCAATCAGCACAGTGTACAAGTGGGAATAGCTAACCCATCATTTAGAGTAGCGGAGAAGAATTTCTGGGTCCTCTGCCAGCTGTTCTTCCCTTAAGGATCCTTTCTAGGAATTCTGTTCCCTTCGCAGTTAAAATCATCTGAAGTGGGAAGAAAAACTTTGATGGGAGGACGCATTTCATCCATTGAGGAGCCCAATTAGCCCTTGAGGAGCCCAATCAGACAATTATTTCGACTGTGAAAGCTGTTGTGCAGGGTGTTCTGGCCTCCGTATGCAAGGAGCTCTGTGTCTATCCAGGCAGTTAAATTCATCGAAATCCTGTGTGACTCTGAACTTCATCTTTATGGAAATGCAACATAAGCAGTAAATTACTAATAAAATAGGATCAGTGTTTAATAATTGAGGTGTATAAGCTGGATGGATATGGTAAAATGAAGTGGAAAGATGAAGGGAAAAACCAGTGCAAGGCCAGGCCTTCTGGTCGCAATCTAGTGTGGCAACAGGGAACCAGACCTGAGGAAAGTTTAATCCAAACTGAAGAAGAGCTGGTACAAACTGAATAGGAAATCTTCCTAGGTACAACTAATCAGTGTATGGCTTTGAGATCTGATCACTTACTAACAGATGCATGAAGAACAAAGCTTAGAGGGCAGCTTAACAAAATAACAGAATGCCTCTCTTGTTCAGAACAGGGGGCATGAGTTGGTATTGGGGTGTATCTTATGAAATAAATTGTCATTATCGCTCAGCTAAGCTCTTCCTTCTTTGTAGTGCCAGTATGTATATTTGCATCAATGTGTGAGAGATGTTTTAAGAGCAAGAAAGCTACGCAGTGAACAGGAAAACCCCTTATTTCCAATATATGAAAATGTGAATCCAGAGTATCACAGAGGTAAGGCTGAATGTAGTGAGCATTTAAGCCATAAATAATTACCATGTTTTTAATCTCAATATACATACAGTGTGTATTGTGCTCTGCTTAGTGACTTTTCCTCCTTAAGTTCCCCTCAAGATAGCAAAACAGCCACCTGATCTATTCGTAGAACAAAAAAAAAATCCAGTCTCCAGGCTCAACAGTCTCCTAGCCATCATCTGGTCCTTCTAAGATTACATATGCTGGACTTTAGCTCAGTAGCAGCCTTCCTGCTCTCCCATTCTTGTACAATAACCTCCCACACTTTCCTGTCTTCTGAAGTTGTAAACGTTCTGGAGGAGGGAGAATATATTGTGCCAATAAAATGCTGGGTATATTTAATCTAGCAAACTAGCCGTCCTCATAGGAATAAGCCTGTCCACTTTGCTTGTTATTTTACCATTGAATGGAAAGGCAGCAAAATCCTTCTCCCCACTTTACACCCTCCAGTGGAGACCTACTCGATAATCTCTCTTGTGGTGGATTCACTGTGTATTTGACAGTCCCACTACAAAAGACCCCATTAGCCTAATTTTCTAAGCCTTACTAAATAACTGATACTGTGTGATTCTGAAACCATTTACATGCTCTGATTCCATTTAGACCCTTACTTGAAGAAATAATGGGTGTCACTTTGCAGTGAAGGGGAAAAATCTGTGTTGAGATTATAAATGTGTGTTTGTTTTAAACCAGTTGAACTGTCATGGTTTTCCATCTTATGAATTATAATTTGGTAAGGCTTCTGAGAATTTTCTGTTAGAGGTTATGTATTATTTGAAATCTTCTTTGCCATCTCCCCAAGGCTTGAGATGTGTTACAATTCTAACAAAAACCATAAAAATACAGAAAAATCATACCCTACCAGTTCTCACAGGATCACAATTCCCACAGTTCCCATTTAGACCAGTTTAACGCTTTAGTCTTATACAGTGTACAAACTTATCCAGGAATAAGTCACACTGAACCCAGTGGGAATTACGTCTGACCAGAGACGTTTGAGATTGCACAGGGCTTCTCTACTTTCTGCAGCTGTGTGATAAGCAGAAAACCAGCATGTATGACTGCATGCTAGAAGGAGCTTCCTTTGCAGACTCTTTGGCTTTCATTATAGACACAGCAGTCTTGTCATGAGTGGGGGCGGGGGGTGAATATTATGTCCATCATTCTAAGACTCAGCTGCTTCTTATTTGTTTGCCCACGCACATAATTCTGGTCTTTAACTATCTAGATCACTATATTTTCATAAGAACATTTTTACTGGCTAGCACTGGAAAATTGAAAACAAAAACCATTCTGTGTGTTTATTAACAGCAATTTTCTTTTGATTTCAGATGCTGTTTATTCAAGACACTAAGGCTGTAACATTCCTGCTTTTTGCAGTCTGTCTGTTAGCTATTTTTAATTAATTTTAAAAAATATTTTATGCACTACAAAAGTGCCAGACATGTTTGAAGCTGTGTATAATTTATTGGTCTGGTGAAATTTTAAAGTATATAATTTAAATATAATAGATTTTGTATATAAATGTATTTTGATATGTAAATATGTATGTTATCTATTTTATATTAAGCTTCAGATAATACTATTTTTCCATGCTAAAGTTATTTTAATGAATTATTCCTTATAGACTGCAAAATCATATTGCAGCATGAATTATTCCTCATGCTGCAAAACTAGCAAGACTTTTAAACTTTGCCCAATGCTGCAAAGGTCCTTTAAGTGTAAGGCATGGGTGGGCAATCTTCACATCCTCATCTAGCCACTGCTTGCATGTGCGTGAGGCAAGACTTGTAGGTTGTTTAGACTCCTGAAGATAGCAAAATTTCTTAAATAAACTACTTCCCAGCCCTTATGGTTGCAGATAGATGATACCAGTGACTTTGTAATGCTGAGAAACAAATGTGCCAAACTCTAACTAAAGAATCAGAGGTTTTTAACTAACATGCCTATCAAACAATCTTTTCTTCCCTGTCAAGGGAATTTAAGAAACTTGATTTTCTTTTTCTGTTGAACTGTAAGCATAAAGTAAGGTCTCGAACATCCCACGGCATCCAGTGTTACACTGAAAATAGCATTTCTGGCATCAGCATACAGTTTATTTCCAGTGTAACCCTGTGCTCAATTTCATTAGTAACCAGATGCTTGAATGGGCCAGTTTTATAAAGATGATGTAATATGTTAGGACAATAAAGAACAGATGCAGGACATTAAATAATTAAATTAATTAAAGGATGCAATCCTGTACATGTTTAGACAGAAAAAAATCCTACATCACTCAGCCTATCCCAGATAGCCAAGCTGTTGTAGGACTTTGCATGTCTAAGCATACATTAGATTTGTGTCCTTAAACATCTTTGCTTAATGGGACAATGAGAGACAAAGTGCTTCTAACAGTAACACTAATTGCAATTCCTAAATATAAAGCAAGCATTGAGCCTGATCTAAAAAAAAACTTGCAGTAAATAACCATGTATAGAACAGAAATACATGGATGCCGGCATTCTAGATCCAAAGCCAAGCCATTCTTATAGCATGTTGACAAAATTTTGAAGACAGACCAAGAGTTTGATGATGATAGAAAAGGCCAAACTTTCATCTGCCTAGTAAAGACACAAAGTCTTATCCATCCAAGGCAAAAAGAATGCAAAAAGAATGAATTGTAGCCCTTTAAAACATTTTAATGACATAAAATGTTTTCAGCATTGTGGGTCATTGCAAATGATGCTGGGTCAGGGGGATGGGGAGGAGATGGATGAATTACATTTTTATCACATCATGTGATGTTTCTGGAGATTGTCTACATAAGGAAACTTTGCAGTATATTATTTTTGACTTCACTTGTAAGCGACCTTTCAAACAAAATGACCAAACTGCTGATCTACAGCAGATCTTGCTGCCCAGAATGAGGGGCATCCACCCAGGGAATTTTACAAAGGACTGGAAATATAACAGACGGAGGTTGTGTAATACTTCTCCTGATAAACTATGGGTGATGAGCACTGTATATAAGGAGCAATCTGCAGCCCCCAGACACTCAATACTTAATGAGAGTGTAAATGCTGATCAACATGATCTAAAACTGCCTTGATGTTTGCGTGCAACTTGAAGCACACACTCACTGGCTATGGTCATCCAACTCCTTTATCCTATTTAGTGTGTGATGAAAACTATAGCTTCTTTCTGCTCTTCAAATCACACATTTAAAACTGATCAGGCAGAGTTTGGGAATCAACCAATCCTAAGAACCCTCCAACACTTTTCCAATCTTCCAGTTGCTGGTGTTCTATGTAGTAACACTGGGTATAACCTTCCCATAACTCTGACCCCCAAAGGAATTCTCTCAGAACATTGGCCCTGTTGAATGGAAGTGCAAAAGTGTACTTTTGAGTGCCCTGGTCTTCTGTCACTGGAGGACACTGAAAGATCGGTAGGCTTCTGTCATAGATGTGTTGCTAAAATCAGGTAACCATGGAATCTGTTTAGACTGGTTGGTTGCAGGCTCACATGAGCAGAAAATCGAATTTGGAATCATTTGTTGATCCTAGGAGAAAGGAAATGGGAACTAGTACAACCCTTGTCACCAAGGAGACAGATGGAGCAGATGTTTCTTCCTTTTTAGCATTTTATGGGCCAGGTATTTTGCTACAGCAAAGTGCATGCCAGTGAATGATTGAGAAGAAAACTCCCACCATGGGTCTGTAAAATTTAGCCCAACTGAAGTGGATTTATTCCACAGAATCTTCAAACCATGTATATTCTGTGTATAGATTCAGGGGCTCCACAGACTTTGCACAGTTCTTTTTGAGATGCCACAATCCCAATATAAATCTGGTGTCAGTTTCTGGCTGCTTGGTATTTCTCCCCTAGCAAGGACATCTGTGATCCTAGTCTGACTGAACTTTCTCCAACCTGGTGCCTTCCAAATGGTTTGGACTTCAGCATCTACCATCCCAGCCATATGGTCCATGCTCAGAAATGTTGGCAGCTGTAGTCCACAATATCTGGAGCCAGTGTGGTGTAGCGGTTAAGAGTATGGGACTAGGATTCAGGTGATCCGGGTTCTAGCCATGGAGCCAACTGGGTGACTTTGGGCCAGTCACAGACTCTCAGCCCAACTCACCTTACAGGGTTGTTGTGAGGTTAAGATTAGGAGGGAAAGGAGCATGTAAGCTGCACACCTTCATAAGAAGGTCAGCAGGATAGGAAAGGCTGGCTGACCTTTCTCCACATAGGTATGTCAGGCAATTCTGAATTCTGGGCAACAGCTGCATCTAACATGCCTTGAAGGCATTGCTCCACGCCACCACTGCATGTAGTGACCAAAGCCATATCCCTTGTATGAATTTCCAAAGTTCCTTCTCACAAAAGTCCATCACAAACATGATTGAATATTCAGTACTGGAACATATAAAAAGGAACAGTTGTCATTTCTTTGTCCTGCAAAAGTAGCACAACTTAAACTCATTGAGTTGTGGGGAGGGACAGAAATCTGCCCTGGAGACAGCTAGCCCACTTACTAAGATTGGTTTGGTTTTAAAAAGAAGTCAGAAAGTTGTGATTCCAAGGGGAAGTGGAAAGAGCAGTGTTTGTCAGGATTATGAATTGAAATTATCGTTTCCCTGTTTACTTAGCAAGACCATAAAAGGGCTAATTTTAATCATCAAAGCCTTGAGCCTCTTTTGAGGGCAATGAATCTGGTGTTCATTGGCAAACCTGTTCTTCTGGCACCATAGGAAATGAGATTAGTTACCTATAATACAATTACAATGTGGTGAACTACTCTGAAAAAATAACAAGTGCACTATATAAATTATCCCAGTATCTATTGTGGTGTCATCTTTCTGCTGAGGGAATGAATCCAATTCAATAATATATGATGTGAGAGCAAGCATTTTGGAATGTGCATCCTATCTAAAAGATAGTTTATCATTCTTCAAAGAATACAAATGACATTCAATTTTCTCATTTCTCTTTTCTCCTTAATTTTTCATCTTTGTATGCATTATGTATACAAATAAGACTGCATCATTCTCCGACTTCCAATAGATATTCTAACCATTTCGAGACACCATGCTTGTGATTGGTTTCTGAAACTCTCCCTTCCTGTTTGAATCAAATAACAAATAGTCCTGTGTATAGCAGGCTTCATATTTACCTCTGATGAGTAAAAGTAGCACGCACTTTGCATGCAGAAGGTACCATTATAATGAAATAGACCAACCTATTCAGCAGAATGTCAAAACAAACTGAAATAGGGAAAGAGTGGGGTGGGGCAGGAGTCCTAAAACTTACCTCATAATCCAGTAGTTCTAGTGTCCTGCAAATGAGCGCTGATGTGTATTTACAGAAACTGAACTGAGAATGCCCTCCAAGCGCTGAATGTGGATTCCTTATTGTGCTCATCGAGCATTTCATGCCAAAAGAGTAGTGCAGCCCTTAAACATGTACAGAGTTCTATGTGCCAAGCGGAGCTCTAGAAATAGTATGTTACTGAAATAGAAAAAATAACTCCTGAACTAAGCCCTTGCTTCAAAACATAAAACTAGTTTGGGAATTGCTACTTAGCAATCAAACACTTCTGATGAGCTGCAATCTATCTGCAAATGTCCCACTGTTAGGTGTAATAGAAGACGTACATGATCAAGAACCAAAAATTAGCCCTGTGTGATGCAAGATGCTTCATCCAATACTTACTGGCTTTTACATCACAGAAAAAAGAAATGAAAAGAATATGACAATAGTCTGAAGTTGATCCATTTTATAACTAATATACAGAAAGTATAGCTTGTGTTCATAGTTAATGCAAGCAAAGCATTTTAAATGCTTGGTACCCAGTTTTGCAACATATTTTCTTGTTAAGTCAATAAGTAAAATTTGCTTCCTAAAGTCAAAACTCCTCTGGATTTCAAGATAATATCCCCCATTAAACTACTATTATGATCTAATCTAAATTGCCTGTTTTCCCTTTCTGTTCAAATATCAAGCAAATGCTGCCAAAGAACAATGTGGTATTTTATGCAATAATATATGGACAGCCAGTTAAGAGATTAAACACACACATACAGCAAGAGGGGAAAGGAAAGGAAGAAGAATGGATGCAGATGCAGATGCAAAGTAGGCTGCAGATTACAGTGCGATTGTATAAAATAACAGTATATTTTAGTCCAATTCCATTAAGATCAAGGAGATTTGTTAAGCATCACCTCATCATCAATAGCCTTGCAGAAGATTCATAAAACACCTACAGAATCAGAGAGCTATAACTGTGTGGCCTCCTTATACTGAGTACACCAACAAAATAAAGCACTTGAAAGACTTTTAAAGCCCTTGAAGGAAATAGTCCCTTCAGTGAACTCATTACGTTTAACTGATACTGTTTAAAAAATGACATCCTATTACACGTAACAGTGATTAATTTTCCATGGGTTGAAAACAAAAATTGTGTTGGTAAAAGTCAATAGACCCAAGCAAAATATGTAATTCTGGAAAATGATTTACAACATCTTAGCAATTAATTTGAAATATGAATGCTATAAATTCTGTACCGTTGAAGAATTGAAAAATTATCTGAGGAATTATATTACCTTGTTACATGCCACATATGGTGCCTAGCTATGCTTCTAACAAACCATTTACCAACAAAGGGCTACTGTTAATTTATATTATGTATTTTAAGTATATTTTTATATTGAAATCAACCAATTCAATATTTCTGAGCACCTGTCACACTTTCTTTATGAATGACTCATAAATAAAACAATTGCTTATTTAAAACAAGGTATTTGCATTCTGTTTGATTGCTTTTGTGTTATGGATTTTGTTGTCAAGCTGTTCAAAGGAAAAGGTCATCAGAAAGTTTGATTAGAGAAACATGATGAATATAGAGAACTTAAAATTAAGCAAATGCCCTTGCTTGATCTTATATTGTAATCTCCGCATCACAGGTAAAAAAGTACAACTGTGTCACCAGTTATTAACTTTTTCCTTCAAATTTTTATCAGACAAGCAATTAGAAACATTTGCAGCCCTGTCATTAAATAAGATAGGAATTCAGCTTGTTGAGGAAGGGGTTGTGCTTCCTCAAAGGATCAGCTCCACAGCTTGGGAATGCTGCTTTGTCCCTGGATCAAGGTAGCAGTGGCGTTAGCATTTGCACTGTTGCACTCGGTGTACCAACTTCAACCTTCTGAATGCTAGGCCACTCCCAGGTGGTGGAATGCCGAGCCCAAGCACAGCACTTGGTTTCCATCTCCTGGCTTTTAGAAAGGGTATGAAGACACATCCCTTTAATTCAGTCTTTTACATCATGCAATGGTAATTGTTAGTGCTGCACTCTTGTACACCACCTTCATAACTTTTAACAAATAAGGTAGCATATCAATGTTAAAAATAAGTGAATACATTTTATAGGACTTACACAGAAATCAGAAGCAAGCCCATGAGTACAATGGAGCTCACAGGATTGCAGCCTTAGACAGGGAGTAAGCCCTCTTGAGATGCTGGGAACGACTGACAGCTAAAGAAGAAGGGGGCAGCAGAGGACGAGGGGCTGGATGGAGTCACTGGGGCAGTGGGTGTGGGTGTGGGTGGACTCTGAGGGATGATGGAGAACAGGAGAGCCTGGAGGAATGCTGTCCATGGGGTCCTGATGGGTTGGGCACAACGTTGTGACTAAACAACAACAAAAAACCCCTCTTGAGCAGGGTGGGATCATTCCAGGTAAGCAGGTGTGCATGGGATTGCATTGTTAGTTTCAGTAACGTGCTTGAGCTAGCTTGCATTACAAGAACCTGAATTCTCAGGCATGCAGAGAGCACACAATAGCCTGTGCTCCCAGCCAGAGTTCCATCTTGAGCAGATCAGGAGATTCATTTTCAGGAGAAGGCAGTTTAGTCCGCTTGCCAGTGGCAGTGCAGAAGCTGCATTGTCTGGGTTTTCAGAACATGAGCTTCTTGGGACATGGTGGGCAGGGAACTGGTGCGCCTGTTCTTTCCTTGTTTAACTCCAACCAGAGAAGTGTAGCATTTAAGTTCACACTAGTTGCAGAAAATAAGCAAGGCAGAAAATCCACTGGCAGACTCCCCGATTTTAATCAAAGTAGTTTGATTAAAAGTGCAGTCTTGTCGGGGTAGCATTCCCACTCCGAGTGATGATAGTGGTATGTCCCACCCCCAGGCAAATAGCACCTTAGGAAAACATTGCAAAGAAGGGAGACGTTCAAGCTGCCGTTCTGTTTCCCTGACCCCTACCCTTCTTCCCACAGCCGATTTAACTCATTCAAAGCTACAGCAAGAGCAGACAAGAGAACATGGATCTCCTGCGCTAGGACTAGTTTGGCTCAGTACCACATGGATATGCGACTAGATCACACAGATTAATTAAGGCCTGGCTCTAATCTTACACATTTGGATGGTAAGTCTTCCCAGTGGGACAAAAGTTGCCTTTAAAAACTTCTATTGTTGTACACTACATGCTTTTATTTGGCTTGATTTCTCCTGCCTCATGGTAGCCTCCTCTCATTACCCATCTGAGCCAACGTGAAAGTCTGGTGGCATGAATGGGGATTAAGGGGTGGGTGAAAATGTCCTAATTCACATCGGCTTCTGCATCAGCAATGCATAGATGGACACTCTGTTGGCCAGGCAAGGCATGTCAAACAAGAGCATCAAAATACTCATGGGAATAAGCATCTTCAGAATCATATCTACAGGATTAACACTAGCAGAAGGTTGCTTCTCCAGGAAATGCCACAATATTTTTCAAGAGTTTTATCCTAGCCCATTTTTAAACATGAAAAAGAAATTCCAGACAGCACTTCCTTCTTGGTGGACTTTGGAGACTCAAAGTGATAATGATGAACAGACTGAGCTCTTCCAATTATTGAAAAATTAAAAGCAGGAAATAAAAGATTAATATTAAGTTAATGCATATTCAAAGGCCAGCACGGGGGGGGGGGAATTGGTCAATTAATTATGTGCATGAGCTGTAGATTCAGTTTGAGGGTGGGGAGTTGCCGTTGTAGGCTGCAGTTCAGCTGTAAAAGACAAGAGTCACTGCCAGGGGGAACCCTTTGAAATTCTGCTCCCCTCTTATACAGAAGGTCAGGCCAACATTATCAGCTCCATCTGGCCTTTAAAAGGTTGGTGCTCAGCAAGTACAGTCGCAATGACCATGCCAATATATTTCTAAAGAAAATGAAGATACTCTTTGACATTATGAAATGTTTCCAACTGTGCCGCACTAAATACAAGCCCTTCCAGAAATTGATTTATTTAGGAAATGGCTTATCCCATTTCTGTTGATTAATTCCATTCTAGAAAAGGCTTTGCCAACTTAGTCATTATAAATTCAGGGAGGAAATGCGGAAGTAATTATGAGTAATGTCTTTTCCAGGTGCCCGATCTGCTTTTAATTGATATCAAGATGACTAACTGAAATTGAATTAGAAATTTGGAAACTACTGTGTGACTTTCTCAATTAACTAAACTGCCCAGTTTGAAGCCATTTCTGGGCAGACATTTAATACTAGGCTAAAAGACTGGGGTTATGATAACCCTTATCAAGTACAGAAAGGGTTGTCATACAACCTGTTCTTTATCATCAGGACCATAAGCCACAACATTACAAGTTTCAGTCACAGGAAGACAATTCCATTTCTACATCAGGGGCACTCAGACATCAGTCAGACAATAGAAACAATCACCAGGGATGTTTTCCAGCAGGGGCTAGATAGCCATCTGTCAGGAATGCTTTAGATTGGAATACAGGCCCTCAATGAGCCACAGGTTGGACTGGATGGCCTTAAAGGTGCCGTCCAATTCTAAAATTCAGTGTTCCCACATTAACAATAAAAGGTGTCTGTTTGGAGGAGGGTACAGGCCAATTCCAGTTTAAAGAAGGGAGACAAAGAGCCTTGAAGAAGCTCAGCAAAAGTTACCACCAAAGAATTCCAGATGAAATTTTTATCATGCCATCACCCTGCCTCATTCACAGAAATTTACAAGAAGTTCAGACAACACTGCTTTCCATTTGCAATTCTCCAATATATCCTACTGCTTCTTCCCCTTTTTATCCTTTCCCAGAAAATTCCATGGGGGAGGAAATGATGATCTAGGGGCATATCTTTCAATTACCAGTCTATCTGGAAGCACCCCTGGACAGTAGTAGACACAGGTCACTGGACCATTGTCCTCCATTGTGGTGAGCAATTCCAACCCTAATCCTAAGCTACAATAAAGTTTACATTGCATTGGCATGAAAACATTTGATTGTGCATACAATTCCATTATCTTTCCCCTTTTGGTGGTGATGCAAGTTTTGTAAGGTGGGAAGAGGCTTATTTTATATTGTGTGTGTGTGTGTGTGTGTGTGTGTGTGTGTTTAAATTATTATTATTATTCTAATGTATATATTTTAATTTTTATTTATGTTGGTTCTAATTTATTGTTGTAAGCCGCCCCGAGGCTTCGGTGAATGGGGCGGCATAAAAATGTTTTAATAAATAAATAAATAAATAAATAAATAAATAAATAAGAGGAGCAAGTAGAATGTATTATGTATTGATTTGATTTGAACCCCAACTTTCTACCAAACTGTGGCACTCAAGATGGCATTTCAACAGCACACATTCTTTTAGGAGTTTGGTATATAGGCTCTTCAACCAGAATTTCTCTACATCCTGTCAAGATCCTAGACGAAAAAAAAGGAATTCACTCCAAGGCTGTCTATGAATCATTCCCCTTGCCGACCAGAGGTTCGTGATAAATCTTCCTGAAAGTGTACATTAAAGGAAGCACAATAGAAAACTTACCTTATCCATTTGTGTCATCTGTTTTCATCTAGTTGGGGGCATATGAAGGTAAACTTGCATCCTGCATGGTTCTTTCTGCGTTGGTGGTGAGGCATGGCTGGGACTACTGCTCGTTCTTGAGCAGCCCAGCTCCAGGATCTCAGAGCCAAGCCCCCAAAGAATCCTGTGCCCTCCCAGGCCAATACCAAAAGGCATAGGATTGTGCCCTAAATTAGGTGATCAACCCAAGGGTCTTGGAAAACAGATATCCCAAAAAAGTGTGTGTGGGGTGTGGAGGAGGAAATAATATAAAAACATTATGATTGTATATTCATAGAGTAGATTGCCCTTTCAAAACTTTCTGCATAGTCCTTAGTATTATCCTGGTGAACAAGCTCAATGAAGTTTGATGATCTGATTACAGAATCACAGCTTAAGTCAGAATGCTGTGTGTGTTTAGATGGAGAAAAGTCCCACAACTCCCAGCCTTCCCCAGCCAGCAGGACCATGTCCTGTGTGAGCATACATAGGATCGCTCCCTTAGTGCAATCTTTCTGGGCTTGGCCCAGAGAAAAATGGATAGACATTTTTCCAATGGAAGCCTTCCTAAAATGACGTGGTTTAATAGTAGCTGTGACTGTTGGAATAGCTCACTGAGGGCGCAGCTGCCACCAGCAACAATCCATCCTCTCTGCTTATGGCTGGTCTGTAAGAATCCTTTTATTTCTGCAGATGAATCAGAAGCAAGAATTGTTTGGGTGCTTTTAAAATTGAGCTATACCTTAGCTATAGTCACATCATGAAGCCTGAGACGTTGTTATGATGACAACCCTAACTTTAGTTAATAGCGTGAGAGGAATCCATTTTGCTTCATTTGCTGTGACTTTATTTAATACATTTTGAACACTTGGATAAAAATTGAATCTGGCACTCTTTTTCCACTTCTATGGGAGAGTCAACCAACTGCAAATAGAATAAGCAAGTTGGC